TTAGTAAGATAGATCAGTTTCTTAAGTCCTGAATCAAATCATAAAATAATCAATTAAAAAACATAAAAAATTGTTTAAAACGAGGTTAATAATGGGTCAAAAAGAAACCATCAGAGACTTGTCATAGAAGACAGGCCTAGATCAACAGAATTTAGTATTATTGTTTTTATTTATTTTTCTTGCTTTTTTGAATTAACTGATGTTTTTGCTTTCAGTCCCGAGGCTATTAAAGCTTCATCTGACGCAGAAACGGTGGCCTAGCCAGAACCCACTGGTTTGGGCCCTCCGCTGTTGGTAGGGCCGAGCATGTGCTCATGCGTGCGTTTAACTATGGTGTGTCATCTAAGGGTCATCGAGGTCGCGGTTCGGACCGAAACCCCGATGGCCGTCGATTGTGTAATTAGCTAATCGGTGGCTGGGAGCGGTGAGAACCGCCCCGCAACTCGGGTGTATCTTGTGTACGCGCTGTGTTGGTCTCGCTGTGCTCGGAGGCGAGGGCGAACTAGTGTGTTTGGAACCGCTCGGTACCAGATGTGGCGGCCGCTATTTTAGCGGACAATACGGCGAGCTCTTTTCTATTAATGCGGTCTAATAAGCCGCAGACGTTCGCGATTTGGGCGAATGGGTCGTCTTTGTTTTCGGAGAATACCGATGGTGTTGACTGCACCTGCGGCCTCGGCGCCTGTTGAATGGCTGGCTGCGATTGGGCTAGCGTTGGTCGTGAGGCAACCGGGGCCGCGACTACCTGCGCGGCCACCTGCGTGGCTACCTGGGGTTTCGGCCAAGCGTTGACGACGGGTACGGGCGCGGGAACGTATTTCACGGGCGCGGGTTTGGGCAATGTTGTTTTCGCGGAAGATTTTCTCGCGGGAGTTTTCGGGGCCTTAGAGCAGCCACTGTAACTAGCCGAATGGCCGGTAGCGTGGCAGTTTACGCAGTCCGGTGGATCTGCGCAATCTTTTGGCCGCGTGCACTCGGGTGTGCCGTGGTCACCGGTGCATTTGACGCACCTAGGGTGAGCGAAGCAATTGTTGGCCGTGTGGCCATAATGTTGACAATTGTGGCACTGTGCTACAACAACTTACTTGGTCGCGGTGGGACGGTTGGGCGAAGCGGCCTCGCATTCCGGGTCGCTATCGGTTGCGGGGCGTTTTTTGCCCTTCTTACGCGACTTTACGACGGTAAAGCCATCAGCGTTTGCGTTATTAGCGAGGGTATTATCGACCTCCATGTCCGAGCCGCCATCCGATTGTGAGTCGGGAACGACAGCGTGGAAGGGGGCCGAAATTGGTTGCGCGGAAGGCGCGTTGGGTTCGATCGCAGCGACGGAAGTCGACGCGACGGGCGTAACTACTGTCGCTGAAGGCGACTCGTTAGCGGGCGCAGAGGGCACTGGAGATGGCGGCGAGGCAACTGCCGGTGAAGCCGGGCTGTCGCTGGCGAACTCGACGACTAAACATTTTTCTTTCGCGAACGCGAGAAAGTTTGCCCACACACTTCGGGACATCGTTGGCGAAGGAATTCCGCTATGAGGGAACCCATTTCGAGCGCTTGAGCCTTTGGTGCTTGCGCCCCACCGGCGTGTAGTTAACTAAATAGGCCTCCCCACCTTGCGGCAGGGAGGAGTGTGTCTAAAAATAACAACTAATTCGCCTGCGCTTTAGGTGCGCTAGGGTGTGTACCTAGCTGTCACCTATCGCAACAAGCACACAGTTATTAAATAAAACAATGCCAGAGACGTGTGTATAGAATTCTACTTACAGAACAGGAACCTGCCTACGAGCACAACACTACACTAACCTACTGCACTGCTTGCACAAAGATTTAAATTGCAACCGAAGTTGCGAGTAGCGTCTAATTCGGGTGGCATGAGCCCTCCGTCTTAGAGAGAGGTCCGTTCCGTACAAGAGCACGAAGTTGAATGAGAATTTAGTAAGAGTTGTTTGATTGACATGAAAATGCTGCACGACAATTTAAAGAAGTTACTTATGTGGTTAAATGATAATAATTTTAATGACGTCAAATAATTTTTTTATGAAAATTCGATATTATATTATGTGACATTTAATTATTGAGAATTTGATTAAAATTAAATGTTTGCCTTTAGTTGATTAATATTTTGCATGTTATTTATAAATTAACATAATATGAAGTGCAATATTGGGTTATCGGGCCGTCTATGGTTTGCGTCCACGTGAGTCACTACGGCATTTATTTAAGCAAATAAACGTTTTGACGCTCCCGTCGCTTTACATACCTGAGAACATCATGTATGTACGTAAGAATATCCACCTATTTACGAACAAACAATCCACATCGCGTCGGGGCCGTGGTGACACTCTGGAAGTACCGAGGTTTAGATTGGCTAAAACCAGAAAGTCGTTTCTTGGAAGATGCATCAACTTTTATAATAAAATAGGTGACATCCACAAACAACTAAGTATAAACAATTTGTAAAAGCTACCTTAATGGCAAGGGCATACTATAATATGCAAGAATACATTGAGGACAAGGATGTTTGAAAATGACTCTTGCTCTGCACTTGCAAGACCCCTGGCTGCTGCTGATTTTATACCTAAATAAGTGTGTATAATTGCATCAAAAAAATATATATATAACAAAAAGAACAAGACCGCAGTTTCTTGCCGGTTCTTCTCTGTGCAGGTCTAGTTTAGTGAACCGGTGGTAGATTTTTTGTTGACGTTCAATAAGAGCTTAAGTTAGGCCTATATTGAATAAATATACTTTGACTTTGAATATTAATGATTTGTAACACCTCTATACCGTGTTGTACCTAAGAGATGGATAGCATGAAGTACGAAGCATTAAATTGTAATATAGGGTGTACTCGGCCAATAGATAGATAGATAGGAAATACTAATGATGTTGTGAATCATGACGTGATTTGCAACTTTGTTTGTGTTGTGGTCTGAACTCTGAACAAAAAAAAAGTGCCCGACGGTTGCAGTTTCTAAGACAACTCTTCTAATCGATTGTTTCTAGTATGCATTATGCAATTCATTTGAAAATCAATCAGTAAAGGTGTATATTATTCCAGCGCAAATCTCAACTTCGTGTTTATGAAAATACGACAAACAAAACACCGCCCCCTGTGGCCTCAAAGTCGTACTTATAAATCAATTGTACATAGTCGATTGCTAATCAAAAAAAAGTTTCTGTTTTTATAGCAAAGAATTCCCATTACAAACAAAACACAACAGATCACTAACAAATCAAAAAGTTCAGTTGGCACGCGGAGCGCCAACAGTCAATTAATAAAATTAAATAACAAAATGACAATCAAAAAAACAAAATAAACTTTTAACGCGGTTTTTCATTATTATATTCAAAACTGAACCAGAGTTGACTCGTTTAAGGTTTGACTCGAGTTACTCGAATCAAATAACTCGAATCGCACATCGCTAGTGTGACTGACTGACTGTGATCTAGAGATGGGTCGTATCGCTTTTTCTGAGTACCGTATCTGAATCGGATTTCGATTTCAAATATCAGATTTCGAAACTATGTATTTTAATATCTAGATATTTTACGGTCACGTATCCACATTGAATTCTAAAAAAAAAAAAAAAATGTTTTCAACGATATTTTATACTCATTATGAATTTATAAATTGTGCAGGCGTATTTAAAAGTTGATTCATTCCATATACCAACTGTTCAAAAAGCTTACTTCTAAATAAATTCGAAAACCCACTAAAATTGACTAAATTCAAAAAACTTACTGAATTTTAAATCACGATTTTTTTATACTATTAAGGTAAAATTACCTGATTAAATTAAAAATAGAAATTGAAGTAATATAAAAATGATTTATTTTAACATCTTATATATCGCTTAATAATAGACTTTAACATATTCTTAGAACACGCAATCATGAGTGACAATATTTTTATAATTTGTGTAAGAAAAGAAAAAAAGAAATGTACATTCAGTATTATAACTTAGGGCAGAAGAATTTAAAATATACACACAAAGCACATAAGCCTTGATCTGATTTCCACCCAAGCAGCACAGCACTATTAAATTATATTTTTCTTTTTGTGTACTTTTATTTTTTTCCAAAAATATGAATAAAATTTAACTAATAAAAATATTCACAAAAAATTTACCACCTAAAACATTTCCATTTATATTTTTGTTCCTTAATTTTGGCAGAAAATTCTTAAGTAGTAAGTTGGCATCCCTAACTATTACGTGCTAGGTACCAATGCAATCCAGCTCAAGGCTAAACAAAATTTTAAAGACATCGTATATCGTAATTCGTATTTAAATGCAACTAAAAATTTTTTTTTCCATGCGGTTAAGATTCAAAATTACTTAACTGCGCGCTTTGTCGCCCGTTACGGCTCAAGGCTAAACAAAACAATAAAAATATAATAATATCGTTGTAGTATTTAATTAAAACGGATCTTATTTGCATGACCTTAAGATTCAAAATTACTTAACTTATCAAAATCTGTTTAAAAATCTGATATCGTGCATTGCTTGCCGTCCCGCTCTAACTAGTGAGTATTTATATCTCACGCGCTTTGTCGCTCAAAATCTGTTTAAAAATCTGATATCGTGCATTGCTTGCCGTCCCGCTCTAACTAGTGAGTATTTATATCTCACGCGCTTTGTCGCTCGGTATCTGATATCGTTCATTGCTTGCCGTCCCGCTCTAACTAGTGAGTGTTTGTATCTCACGCGCTTTGTCTCTCGAAATCTGTTTAAAAATCAGATATTGTGGCAAACCGTATGATATCGCGATTCGTGTCGGTATAGTGAGCGAGCGAGTATTCGGTATATAAGATTTCGGAAATATCAGATATTGTAAAATACATAGATATTGAACGAGCCAGTAAGCGATATTCGGATATTGTACTAATATCTAGATTTCATATCTGATACGATTTGTATCGCCCACTTCTACTGTGATCTGAAGTCATCTGTCATTATCTATATCTATATAAAAAATTGAGCGCTATAAAGAAATACTTATAAAGGACTGAACTGCTTTAAAAATGGGTAACTGGAAATTGGAAGTCGGAAGAATGGCAATGTATACATCATTCCCTGTAATATTATTTTTCTTCTTTAATCAACCTAAATACTTTGAAGAATGGGTTACAAACACCAAAAGGCAAATATTTCCACCGGAGAATAAAAAGGATAGAGAAGATATACAAAAACTAATCCAAGACATGAGAAAGAAGCAAATGCAAGCTCTAGAAGGCGAATAATTATTGTAAAAACATAGTTTCAAATATTTTTAATATAGTCATAGTTTTATTATATTTTATTGATTTCAATACCACTTCCAGTAATTATTGTTAATAATAATATATACAATATAAGTTAATCAAATAGCAAACAAATATATCCATCAAATGAAACGCATATTAGCAACATACTTTATTAAAATTTCACCAACCTCTAAAACGTTCTTCATATATTATTCAACTTTAATTTTGTAACGGTACTGGTAACTTAATGCAATGCCAAGCAATGTTGCAATTAAAGAGACATATAATCCATATGCTACTCCAAAATATTGTCCTACTACCCCTGCCACCATAGGAGCAATAACGCCTGATAAAGAAGTTACACTGTTTGTAGCTCCAATAAGTGTTCCTCTGTGCTGCCCTTGACTTCTTGTCAAGATCATTTCTAAAGATACAAGTCTACCTACAGCACTACCAATAGCTAATGGAATTAAACAAGTAATGAACATATAAACATTTGTAGACAATATCATTCCAGCTAAAGATATACCTACAAGTATAAACATGTGTAAATTTCTAACAGTGTAATCATTATCATAAGAATAATATTTATTTATATAACCAATAAAAAAACTGGATAGGGATGATATAATGCCCTGAAATGAGATAACATATCCTATATATTTAGGTGAAAGTTCATATGTAGTTTTTAAATACAAAGAGTAATTGGAAAAATACACAGCCATTGCAAAACTTATCAAGGCTTTAAGAAAAAATACATCCCAATACTCAGACCATGGTATCTTTGACAACTCCAATACAGATTGTTTACTACTAGTAACTATTTTCTGCCATATACTTGAGGGTTTCTTTTTACTTTTTGCTTCTTTTGTTGTTTCCTTTTCTTTGTTTGTTGGAAGAAAATATACAATTCCTAAAAAAACAATATTGATTTTAGTTAGTAATGTATTAGTAATGCTATAAAAATGTACTAAGTGAATGGAAGATATACCTGCATTAGCAATAAAACATGCAGTAACAATAATGGCAATATATAAAAAACCAAAGTCTGGGTGGTCCTCTGCAATGTGTCCTCCGATCACGGGACCCAAAGTAATACCAATGCCTGATATGGCTGCCATTTTTCCATATATAACTGATTGCTTAACTTGATCACTTTCATAATCTGGCACAAGTGCCTTAGTTAACATCTGTGTTTGTTTAAATAAACCTGTAAATTAATATTTAACTTAACAACGGTAATTTAATGAATATAACTTATAACTTTACTTTTCATATTAACATTATTACATTTTAAAAATATACTGTAACCATTACCTAATATTGCCCTCAAAATTAGAATAACTGCAATTGAGGTAGTCAGTCCTAAAATTATGTATGCTCCTGCGCACATCAACAATGTCAGCATCAATATCATCCTACGGCCTTTGAGATCACTTAAACTGCCCTGCAACAGACAAAAAATAAAGAATAAACTTTCAAGCAATAGGCCGTTACATTATAGAGTTTGAGATATTTCTATATATACTATAATTCTGCGTATAGTAAATTGGGATAGTTTCATGGCAAAATTAAAGGTGATGTTTATAAAATTAATGTAAATTAATAAACATTAATTAATTTCTACCTGAACCTAACTGATAGTTTTGTTAGGGGCCCTGTAAAGCGGGGCAAAGTTATAATACTTAAGTTTATCCATAATTTAGAAATATTTGTATACACAATAACTAGGTTTTCATTTGAATTATTGGCACTCTGCCATCAGCCAGACGCAAATGTAATTTCAGCTTTTAAATCTCTATGAGCCTTGTCTTGTTAGGTTAAAAGCGGATTAGGTTAGGTCCAAAGTAAGTCACAGATCCAACACAGCACCCCAATTGGAGATTGGGGCACCATAGTGAAATAGTGAAAATTAATAATGAAAGAAAAGATAAACCTAATTCACTTATACTATATAACCTATGTCTGACGATGGAAAATACATAATTATTTAATTTTTTTTTCTAATGAAGTTTATAGGTTTTTGTTAAAATTTTAAAATTATACAATTAAGCAACTTATCTTAGGTAGTATTACAAGCATCAAATAGATTTTTAATTGACAGCTTCATAATTTATAAAATACATTAAAACTCATTAGGAGTTCTAACTCATAATCATTTAACTGACATGATAAACACTTATTGTTATTATGATTATACAATCAATTAATTAAATTTAATTAAGGTAATAGATCATTCAGAAAAGATAGATTGTAATACTTACTATAAGAGGACCTGACCCTAACTGAAATCCAGAATAAATTGAACCAAGCAAGCCAATGTATATATGATTCCCTCCTAACTGCCGAACATGATTTGGCACGAGGGGAACTATAAGCCCTACTGCCAATAAATCCTGTAATATATGGAATGGTTTAATATAGAAGCTATGAAATGATTATGTGCAATAGTTCTATAGTTCATAATTAATGTATTTTATTAGACTAGTTTAGTTTACGGCAACAAGTCCATATTATGATAAAGTTAGAAAGGCTCATGCCAATAGTAATGATGGTGCAGTTTTTTAATATTTTATTATTCTTATTATTTTTTCCATCATACATTTCCTAACATTTCACATTTATTATTGAATTATGAAATAATTTTATTGTCTAACTCAAAAGTTATTTTAAGGTTTAAAATAATAAAACTAACCAAGAAAGCCACCAACTGCAAAAGATAAACACTTAGAGCCATGTTATTGAAATATGCTGCTCAAGTAATACAGAACTAATGAACATATTTTGTGGTCAAGGTTAGTATGAATATTAAATTTAAAGTATATGAAATTAGTAAAAAAACGACATATCAGCAAACAAGATTTATAAACAACTTTTTGAAAAGTTGTCAACCTTGTACTGACTGATAAACTGTTACAGATAGTGACGAACAGGGATGCCGAAAAAATATCGATATACTTTCGGCATTCCTAGTGATGAACTGATGGAGGTGTCCAAAAATATATCGATATTTTGATTCTATATATCTATATTTGGATCCGATTTATCGATACAAAATATTTAATATCAAAAACCGTGTCATAACAATATTTTTCAAATCGAATCCGGCAAAGAGTCCCTAGGTGTCAAATATTTAATACTTGACATACCTTTTCCTTTTTTTTGGACGAAGGGGTTTCTAAGTTTCTAAGTTCTAGGTTTTCTAAATTTCCTATATCCGACATATCAATTTACTCATTGATTTTGATATTGATACATTTTTACACTTTCGACTTCCCTAACTAAAAGGATCGGATTCGGAATTTGGATAGCTCTCGAATACAAAATGTTTTATCATATCGTTGAAGTAATTCAATCCAAGTTCGTCCTATGTTATAGGATAAAAGAAACAAAAATTATAATATCGCGAATGGGAAGAACAATAGGAGCTTCGAGCCCGGCAACACCTTATTCTTAAGGTATTTCTAGTTTTCCGTTTTCTGTTGCACTTCGAATGGGGCATTCATCATAAACTTGTTATTCTTCACAATCGCGTTCGCCTCGAATCGTTTGATGCCTCCTAAGACACTTCAATAATTATAGACTGTTTGTTGTTTCCGTGCCCCGCCGCACCGCTTCACATTTGCGTCTAGATCACGTAGTACGTCTTTTCCCGTAAATCACCGCGTCGGTTCGCCGCCGCCCGGAACATCGTCGCGATATCTAATCAAAACTGTTCTCGCGAATACGTCTCTATGATAAGAACATTCTTTTGTGTGCAGTAAATGAAAGTGCGGCAATACACATTTACAGAGACCTGTACCCAAACGACAACCGAGCGCACATATGATAGTAGGTAAATGCATATCAACATTTGTTGGATTACGGTTCAATTTATACACCGTCTCACGCTCGACAAAGTTATCGAGCTCGCGGAATATCCACGACGTAGTACGAATGAATGTCATGCCCGTCTTTTCCAAGTAAGCCAATGATGTGTATGGTAAACATTATATTCAACAGGTACGCAACCATACCACTACAGATAAGTGCAGGAATTAACTCGTACCGACTATGGACCGCGGATGTTGTTCTGCAATTGGATTATTAGTCATCCCGAAGAAAACGTGTTTTCTTCTGTGGAATATATATTTACGGGAGTTAGACTTTTCAACCAACACAATGAACACTGGTAGAGCATTCGAAACCCAATGCTTGTCAGTGAAATTTCGTTCCAGCACCGGTTCAGTGAATTTCTGGGCAGGAATCCTGAACGAAAGCATCATCGAACCTCGGAACTTCATCAAAGAATGAGTCACTGGGGAAAGACTCCTTTAGCCGCTCGTTTCGTCAATGCTGGACGATCCTACTAGTCAATTTGCGTGGAGTTTGGTTCCAGCAAGACGGAACACCACCACATACCACCGAACAGCGCAGTGATTGCCAATTTATCGCAAGAGTTTGGGAGCGCATGGATTGGTCGTGGCGGTACTGCGTGTGGCATAGCGGCCACGTTTACTCGGAGCTTACACCAATGGACTTTTTTGTGAAGTGAAATTAATCGAGAGTGTATTTAAGTGAGCCGGATAGTGTTGAATTATTGAAAAGCGCGAGAGATGCATTCTTCTCTCATTAAAAAACAATTTAATAAAACGTGCACGACTTTGTATTACAAATGGTGGACACTTTGAAGTCCAGTTGTAATATATGTAACTGTAATTTTGTGTAAATAAGACATTACAAATCTGTGAGTTATTGCAAAGAGGATAATAATAATTTATGTACCTAAATAGGTATCAGCTGATTTTAACCTTCTAAATGCGCTAAAAATACTTTAAGTTTTATCGTTTAAATATTTAAATACCAGGCCACTCAGATAGTTAGCGAGAGTTCTGCGTACATTACAGATTGGTTCGGGAAGCGTTTACTATACCTGATCACCTTCGCGTGAAGCGGATAGTTTCGCGCTGGGTGCCGCACAACTTTACCGAACCTCATAAGCAGGTCCTTAGGGAAAGGTGCAGTGACATGAATAAAAATAGTAAATATGAAGCAGGCTCGTCTCAGCGTGTTTACGACAAAGTGACAGGTGAAGAATCTTGGATTTTTATTTCAATACGATCCAGAAACAAAGCGTCAGTCGACACTTTGCCAGTTTCAACCAACGCCTACAAAAGTGAAGCGATCGAGAAGCTTCACTTTGATCAATTACATTACGAAATCAAAGCAGCATAAACGCGGTATTATTCAAAATACTTGCCAGAAAATTTTACTGCTATAAGCAACTAGCCACAAAACACCGGGCTCCGCGGGGTACTGCTTCACCATGACAACGCGCCCGCGCACTCAGCACGCAAAATCAGGAACTTCCCGGACACCACACCGGTCAAGTCTTGGGTCACCCTTTTACAGTTCTGATCTCGCACCGCGTGAATTCTTTTTATTTCTTAAAATAAAAAAAATTAACTAAAAAGGCATACAGTTTTCATCGCCGGAAAACGCGCCAAAAGCATTTGAGAAGGCCGTAGAAGAGTTGTCTGCGACGGACTGGAAAAAGTGCTTCAAAAATTGGTTCAGACGCATGAAACTTTGTAAAGAGTCCGGTGAAGAGTTTTCATTTTTTAAGTTTTTTTTAGAAGAAAATTAAAGAAAATATTTTATCCATATAAACTATTTTTTAGCTACTCAAAACTGAGTGTCCCACATAGTTTATTTGAGTCGGTTTATTTTTTAATGTCTACTAATATTTTCAGGTGTTTAAATTAAATTGATAAGTATTTTACTGGTCCTAAGCCTGGTTTTAATCATGAAGGGAAAGTTATTAGATTAAGTACCTAAAAAATAAATAATTTGTTAATAACAACTTCATGTGTCCTTTAACCCATTACATTTTTTTGCATTTTCCTTGATATCATGTCATAAATAAATAGGTATTGAATTCTTGCAAATCAAAAAATCCCATAGGTAAGTAGGATGCTAAATCACTGTCAGCCAGAGAAGAAATACGATAAGTACCTCTCTCTCTGTCACTAAAGCACAGTCAATTTCATGACTATCTTAAGGCCACAAGTTTAGTCAAACTTTAGGACAAAAACAAACATTCATAACTTAATTATGTTTTTTTTTTCAACTGCACACATATGTTTAACAGCAAATACTGATAACATCATTCAATTTTTAAATATTCATTAAAAATACAAATGTATTTTAAAAAAAATGGAAAATTATTATATGTTTGAAAGCCATACTTTTCAAATGATGGTTGTTTTCATACAAGGTCGCTGATGTTCATATGTGTGAGCCATAACCTGTAAAGAACTATGCTCAGATTTAGCAGTGTTCTTGAAACATTTGATAAGATGTTTTTATGTGTACAGATTGAATACTGTTGTTTGTGTTCACTGCATGATTATACTGAGTTTATTACAGGTGTTTCAAAGGACCATGATTTAAGAAAGGCACACTCATTACAGACTGAAAATAGAAAACATTGGTTTTGATTTGTCAAATATATTTGTAACTTTTGTTATCTTATAAATTGTAAATCTACTACTAAATCAACAGTCAACAGTCAAGCACTAGCTGGTTCCTGTCTTAATAATCTTCTCTTTGGTAAGGTTCACATAAATTATAAACATCTGTATTTTAATCAACAATGTTTTTACTTATTAGGAAAAATCAAAGAACTAATAGGTTAATAAATACCACTTAGTACTACTAATGATAACATTTTGAAATGTTTCTAACCATTTACTTTATTCTTGTTTGATCTTGACAACAGGGTCTAGGCTTGACAGTTTGATCATCTGGGATTGCTTTATCATTGTAGGGAATATTGTCTAATTTAAGAGTTTCTTCTGTTATCCTTGCCTCTGTAAATGTAATGTTTTTAATAAAATATTTTATTAAGGAAGTTATTATTAAGTTAAAATAAATAATGTTCATTATTAAATTTTTATCTTTACTAGTGACACGCCCTGGCTTCACGCAGGTGTAAAGTATTATACATATCAACCTTCTTGAATCACTCTATCTAGTAAAAGAAACCGCGTCAAGATCCATTACATAGTTTTTAAGATCTAAGCATACATAGGGACAGAAAGTAGGACGATTTTGTTTTATACTATGTAGTGAAGTGTTATCAACAAATATACTAATGCTTATAAGCATTAAACAACAATAAACATTAATAAGCCACTTTGTGTTGTATAAAACTTGCAAAAAATATTTTGTTCAAAATTATACTATGGTTATAATTGTCATTTTAAGATTTTTTAAAAAGTTTATTGGTGGCTACAAAATGTTTATATACATATATGTTACACAGATCTCAATGAGATCTGTAAGTTTACCGTATATCCCAGGCTTCACTTCCCGCGCCTGAATTATTTGTGTTCTTAATTCCACTTCCACATCTTCAGCGAATTTTATCATCTGAAAGTAACTTTTGTTATACTTTAAATTATTGATAATTTTTTAATTTTTTTTTTACATCACATGTATAAAATCTATGGAAAATAGATCATTTCGTGTTTAATTTCAATTATGATTTTGGAAATCTAAAAATAATTTTAGATGAACAGTAAAAACTGTTAATATTTAAAAGGCGTTTACCTAAAAGTTATTAAGCAAATGGTAGCAATAATTTCTATATATATGTAGAAACATGAACGAAACGGCAAAATTATAATTACTATAATAACACTTACAGCCATAATAGAATTTTTGTCAGTTACATTTTTATTCTTTTTGAACTCCTCATTAATTTTTATTCTTGCAGCAGAAAGTGCCCTGGAATCTCCGTTAAACACTTTCATTCTCGTGCGATGTAATCTTTTAAAATTTTGTAATACCTAAAAATATTTTGACACATTTCAATTCAAAAAATATTCAAAATTTTGTTCAAATAAGTTTACTAACAAAGTATTTTTTTCATAATTACCATTTTTCGCAGGTTACTCATACTTTAATTTCAATCAAATACAATTACTTTTAAGAAACACAAATGTTTTCATTTCATCATATTTTGTTCATATACGATTGCACCAAAGAGTACCTTTTTTATAATTATCTGAAATATATATCTGGATTGCACTATTGTCATTGTCATTATGGTCACTCTCACTAACATTGATAAGATATTCTGACCTGATTGACATTGCTTTTTAGTTCAGTACTCAATCCCAAAATCCCATTTAATTTTGATTTATAAAATATATCTATAATTTAGTAAAAATCTACAACATACGTCTGGTTTTTTTTTTTTCAAGCTTGAACAATTTTTTGGGCCCAACCCAAAAAATTGTTTTAGAATCGATTCGCCCGAATTTAAGTACACTGTAAGTTTGGGTGGGTTAAGGAGGTTCGTACTAAGCACTCTAACGCATTTTTTTCTGCCGGAGACGCATAAAAAATTTAATTAGCTATTCTTAAAATTTTAAAATCTTATGAAACATGAAATGGAACGTAATTTTGATAAATTTCAGTGTTTTCGCAAATAATAAAAAGAAATTTGGTAAATTTAAATAACTTTAACTCCTCCGTAATTCAATTAAAATAAATTTTAAACGATAGAGAAAAATCTCTAATGAATTAATCAACAATCAGAATTCGGCAGTCGCTTATAGTTTTCGAGAAAAAAAATGTTTAAAACTTGTTTTTTGTACTAAGAAATCCACCATTTTATTTGTTTGACTTCAAAAACTCAATACACAGTTCTGCCAACATGATGAATATAGGAAGCGGGCGACATCATACACGTATCGATATTCCGTTTTTTTTTTAATTTAATGAGTCACAGAACCGACACAGAGCAAATCCGACTCGGATAGTTTAGGTTAGAAGGTTCAGCGGGAGCGGAGCTCCCGCCTTAACCTTCGATGTAAGGTTTTTTTTTTATGACCACCAAGAAATACGAGCGGAATTGACATATTGACATAAAAAAATGGCGGATTTCTATAGTAAAAATCACACTATTTCATTATTTATTTTTTCGAAAACTATAAGCGACCGCCGAATTCTGCTTGTTAATAAATTCACAAGTGATTTTTCTCTATTGTTTAAAATTTATTTGATTTGAATTACGCCGGAGTTAGTTATTTACATTTACCAGAAATTTACTCACAGCACCCCCTACGTATGGCAGTGATTATTTTCCAATATTATCCCTTTCCCTTGTTAATTCATAATCAATAAGTTCACGTAAAGCGTAGTAGTTTCTCTATGGTTGTGGTGAGATGACAGTTGACTTGACACTTGACATATTGTTGACAAGTCTAAAAATGTATGTAATTTAATAATTTTATTTGCCCGGAGTGCTCAAAAACATTTTTTAATATTGTGGACGTTGCAACAATAATTTAAATATGCTGGCACGAGCATTGGTATCGAGAGCTCTTTTATTAAGAACTGCAAAAACTGTAGCTGATCATGCTAAACAAGTCAAGAGAAATTCTGGACATGGGTTAGAATAGCTGTTATGTCACACCTTTTACAATTATTAAGTTTTTTTAGTTGTTTCATTCATTTGAATTTATACATATCTATACATATAGTTAATACAATTTCTTTTCACGATTTGTCTCTGAATGATTAAGGTCCGATTTAAGGATTTATTTCATCAAATTAATATTTTATGAATTGAATTATATTGACATCACAGAAAGGACAGACATTAACAAAAGAACAATGACACTTGACATAACTCTATGATGTAGTTAAAAATCTTCAACCAGTGTCTTCAACAGATAGATGCCCTTGATTCTAATTTTACTGCAATTAAATACATTAATATTTATTATTCGTCATAAATTTTTTAACTACTTTTTTTTAATTTCAGTGTGTGGACATATAGAGTGCCTCCTCCTATGCCGTCAAAGAGAGCTCTGTATTTAGCTCAAGTTCTTGGAGGACTGTGTTGGTATTGGATTCTGTACCATATTGCAACAGAACCGGAACATATCTATGTATGTTTTTTTTTTTATGTGACAAAGTGGCAAATGAGCTGTTGGTTTATCTTATGTTAAGTGATAATGCACATTGACATTTGCAATGCCCGTAGGGTTACAGAAGTACCCACCTTTAAATAAAGTGAGCCATGGCTACCTCACTCACCGGAGGAAACACAGAAGTGTATCATTTCCACTTCACTCCAGTCTTCTGTGAAATTGTAGTACTTCCCTAGATCGACCGGCCCATTCATGTAACGGTGAAGACTTGCATGGCCCCACCACAGTTAAAATTTTATTTTATTAGCAATGTTTCAATTAAAAATGTTTTAAATCACAGGGTGAATGGCCGTATATTGCTCCTTGCACATGGACTGATGAAGAATTGGGAATTCCCCCTGACTCAGAGGGTTCACTCAAAAAGTAAACATCAAAAATGAAATTATAAAATTAGCAAATGATTAGTGAAAACTTAATACATAAATAATAAATATTTATTCACCATGTATTTTATTATAAAATCAAAATGTATTTATTAAGATATTTCCTTACTTGAATTTTAAATATAAGTTTGTAAATTGCTGTATAATTAATTACACTTCAATTCAAGAATCTTTGATAAAATGTATGAATGTAAGTATGAAATAATGAACTAATGTGGTATGAAAAAGTTTAGAATAAAGACAGGATGGTTAAATAAAAGAGACAAAACATATTGCTTAAAACTAAAATGATAAATTTTAAAATTGGCTTCATATAAGTCAAATAATGTACATGGGCGTTAGACAGTTTGTATTTTAGTGTCAATAAGTACAATTAGAATGCGTGTAAAATTTAGAGAAAAATGCAATAAAAACAATAAGTAGATATAAGATAAGTAGAGATATTCGTCGGTCGGAACATTTGCCGCTTAGTTCAATGGCTAGAGTGTTGGGCGCGTAACCCGGACGACGCAGGTTCAAATCCTTACTTTTCTTACTTTAAAAACTTTTCGTAATAGCCAAAACCGCTTACAACATGATTCAAATGTAGTGCTGACCTCACCTAGGTGGGGTAAGGGCAGGAGAATGTCGGATGACAATGAGTGCAGATAAGGGTTATTGAAAATATATCTATATATCGATATTTTTGATTTTATATATCGATATTTTCAGCTGATATATTTTGATCCGATATATCGATACGAAATGTTCAATATCGCAAATCATATCAAAAACGATATTTTTTTTAATTAGCATTCGCCAACTCGTGTCAAAAATTTAAAACGACGTATTTTTTTAATACATAGTATAAAACAAAGTCGTGCCGCTGTCTGTCTGTCCCTATGTATGCTTAGATCTTTAAAACTATGCAACGGATCATGATACGTTTTTTTACTAGACAGAGTGATTCAAGTGGAAGGTTTATATGTATAATACATTTCACCCGTGCGAAGCCGGGGCGGGTCGCTAGTATACAATACTAAATATAGATAAATCTATATATCGATATTATCTCTTCGATATATCGAGGCCGATATTGATATTTTCATAAATATCGGTACATCTCCTCGCTTTCGACAACCCTAGTGCAGAGAATAGCACTTAGAGACAATTATAGACTACAGATACCTATATATGTTACACGCTTAGAAAATCACCGGTCAAGTGTACCAAACATATGTCGCATGGTATAGAAAGGATAGCGTAATAAAAGCAATAAGAATAAGAGAAAAAAAACTTAACTTCTTAATTGAAGAAACAGAAGCAGTACTGACAAACCAAACTCACCGTAATGCACGATTTTATAGGAAGGTAAAGTAATTGTGAGTATGAAATAAAATACTACGAAAAAAAAAATCAGTTTATAATAAAATGATAGCTCAATGTCCGGGCGCTTGATTTTAATTCGATATACTGGAGCAACCTGAGTTTGATCCCCGGTGTTGACACCAATGAAATTGTTAATATTAAATGCTGAATCATCACGTCATTGAAGGAAAACATCGTTAGGAAACCTGCATATTCACACACAAAAAAAACGTACAAAAATATTAAAAAGCAATAAACAAAATATTAACTTATAAATATAAGCAATAAACAAAATATTTTTCAATATTAAGCACTACCTTTTGTACGCCAAGGAGCGATTCTTCGCTCGTTATCAAATTAATTACGCGACTTATAACTTTCTTGTCAATTCAAAGTTTTCAAACATCTTTTTACGTAAATATTTTTTTTGCTTTATGTATTAAATGAATAGCGCCGCCCATGGACATCTGCTACACTCGAGGGTTTGCAGATGCGTTCAAAACGATTTTGTAAATAGGGGCTCCGGCTCCCCACTCACCAGACAAAACGCGAAAGTATTATACTTCCAATTCACGCTGGTCTTCGGTGAGGTCGTGGTACTTACCCGGATGAGCCAGCCCATTCGTGCAACAGCCGAGGCGCTGCGTGGCCCTACCACAGTTTACATATAATATTGTAAGGTATTATTATTATTATTATTATTAGCATAAAAATTGTTTTCGGAATTTAATTCTTCCTCATATCTCTATCAATTGAAGTTCAAGCCTAGGTTTGAACCTTCATGTCCCTTTGATCGTGTCAAATCACTACTTCCTCTCATATTAACGATTTGTGTTATGTTTTGTTAGCAGGGGTCGCGCAGATGCACCGGAGCAAATGCGATTTTGCCGGGTACCAGCTCGTTGTTTACCTGAGTCTGCGGGTCATCTATTTGCCGAGCTCTGCCGATGAAGTGGTCAAAGCCTTTGACAGCAAAGTGCATGGAAAAAGAAAAAGAATTGGGTAATCATTCATCTTATTGAAATAATTGATTTTTAATCTGTTGCATGAATTATATCTGTGCATTCAGTGACTTACTTTGATTTGACGTGAATGGAAAATATTTTTGATGAGATATCGCCCTCATTCGATTACTGTATGAGTTTCCAGTGATTTTAAATAATAAATCAAACAAATTGTTACAAACATGTTGTGATGATGTGATATGTTTTATATTTAGACGTTATAATGGATACTAATACAAATCAGAAGGGTAAGTAAACGTCATTACTCCTCAGTTAGGACTAACTCTTGTTTGTGTATGAATAACTGTACCTTGCGACATTATTTAGGCTGACGTATGGCACCTGCTATAAAATTGCATTTATCAGATGTATTAAACTTAAGGAGGGACAAAAACATTAAACGATAATTAGGAAACAAGCGGATCTATTTTCACTCTGCGATCTTCCAGTTTTTAATTACCTCAACGTTAATGTTATAAACATTGATACGCTTTCCATGAGTGTAACTAAATGTATGACTCACTTTCTTGGCATTGTGATGTCATGTGCATGTTAAAAATGTTAATACTACAGTCCCTACTACTTGCTTACATTTGCCTTTTGCTTAAAGATTTGTTGGTCTCTGGTTGTGCCTTATTATTAATTGTTATAAATTATTTCAGTTCATATGGAAATTAAGAAATGAAAATAAATAGACATTGTTATTAATTATTTAAAAAAAGCTTGATTTTTGTATCATTGAACTATATGATATATAAACAATAGGTTTTTAAATCTCACAACTCTCAATTTTAGTTCTTTATTATTTTGTGTAGGATTGACAGTTTTGTGAATTAAATAACATCAACATTAAATATAATTATAAATTAAGTCCTGGTTTTAAAATTTGAAGTTGAGCTATCATGTGAATATATTAATCTTAGTTAACTTAGTAGTAAAAAAAAATTTAAATCTTACTCTATGAATTGATAATATTTTAAACATAATTAAACAAAATTAATAACCTGTAAAGGCTTACTATGGATGACATAGGACTCCCCTATAACTATTGAAATAGTTTCAATAAATACTTTGAAATATTACGTCATTTTAATATTGCTACTGTGATCTTAAAACAGCAATATTCATAATTATATATGTCCCCAAAAAATTGACATAACACAACTTCCTATGTCTATAGCCTACTCTCTTCTGAGGTGCTGTTCAGTTAGGTATAAATTGTGATCATGCATTAAATTTAAATACTAAATTCATCATCTGGCACTGAAATACATCTTACATAAATTCTTTATACTTTTTAGTGACCTGTATAGCCAATTATGCTTATGATGCATCGGAGCCTGATGAGTTGACAATCAGACCTGGAGACATACTCAGGGATGTTGAGCGTCTGCCTGGCGGCTGGTGGCGGGGAGAACTCCGGGGCCGTAAAGGAATGTTTCCCGATAATTTTGTAACCATTCACACTGAGCATGGAACTTCTAGGTAACTGAGCTATTGTATTAACAATAAAAATTACTAACTTATAGGCACATGCATCTGCATACATCAGTCTTATGTGGATCTCTTGTCAGGGATGCCTAGGGTTTTCAAATTTGAGTCAATTTTGAGTTCTGAAGAATTTTTCTATTAACTCTTGCTGCTTCCCTTTTCCACCAAATAACCAACTAATCAAGTACCATGAAAATTAAGAGTGGTAGGGCCACACAAGCTTTTGCGTTTGGTCTGGTGTGTGAGCTCACTTTATTAAAAGGTGGCAAGGCACCCCTACAAATGTTGCAAATGGCCATGGCGGCGGTTATTACTTAACATTGATGAAACACCAGCTCAATTACTACCTTCTCACATAAAAAATAACATCACCTTGTTGGCGTGCTCTCCAAGAGTATGCTGTTTTCTTAAATTGTGTGTGTCTACTTTGTACAATATATCACTAGCTGAATCAAATTCACCTATAAGAAAAAAAATATCTTAAAAGGTTGTTAATGCTTATGCAACATCATTGGTTTTGTGATAGTCCATGGGCAATGGTGGTTTCAAGAATTTTGCTTGTGCACTAGCATAAACATTTTTTGGTTTCTCCAAAAAATGTTTATGAAAATTTTATAAAGTACAGACCCCTGATTTTATGTTTCATATTTTCAACTTTTGCCAGATAATAATAACCATTATTGATAATTAAATCAAGTGAACAGCATGTAATGTGTATAATTTGTCATTTGTTTCTTTCAACCATTTGATCTAATAGTGAATTAGATTTAGCCTGAGGCTCTTTTCAAACTAGAAGGAAGTTTAAGGTAAGAGTTAAACATAGAAAAGTTTGAGATAAAATTGTAAATAATTATAATAACATGTACCATTGTAGTAAGTCAAGAAAGTTTAATAGAAACAATAACAATGATAGATACTCTGTCTCTGTACTTTCGTAACCTTACCGAACACTCATATTTTTATACGATTAGTGTAATAATAATGATTCTTTGTAATCTTATCAGTATAGATAAGGTTGTGATACGTAGCTTGACTCCACAGTTGGTTCCAGTTGTTTGAACTGTGTTGTTATATTTCTTGGACTAGACATTACATACATACATTAAAATTGGTAACGTCATTAAGAAAAAAAGGTAACATTAATTATTAAAAACGAAGCGCTATAAATTATTTCACGATACGATTTGTTTTAACTATTCCACATATTTAAAGGCTTTGGGGTTAAAAGGTGTAAAATGTTTGGGAATTAAATAGCAATTATGTTTTTCAATGGCTACTGTCTTGTACGTGCCTTTTAGTGAGTAGTGGTTCCCTTTAAAAGCAGGTCTGTGGGGGCGCAAGGGCGGTGTCGGGCAGTCTTCAGCTACCAACCTGCCAACCCTGACGAACTACCCCTTTGCGTAGGGGACGTTCTTGAGGTTCTTGGCGAGGTAAGTCTTATTCGCTAACAGAATATTTGGAGAAAATTATTATTTCTTAAACCGGTACGTATTCAATTAATCCCTAAGAGTTAATCATTGATGAAGTAACCGAGCGATGACTGTACCGCATTGTTACACGACGTAGACTATATTTTGAATTGATGAACTTATGCATGTGTTTATGTGTGTGAATACTTGTTCGTATTTAAAACTGAAATTGACTATTTGAATCGAATCTTATAATTCTACATAAAAATGCTCCCTGTGATAGCATTGAACATAACATATTATAGCATACCTGAGTAATCTTACAACTAAAATAAGCACAGATGAGTCTGTCTCGATGACATCAAAATATGTACACAACATGTATATTACTAGTGCACCTATTTGTAATGCATAACATATGCTTCGACTAAAGACCTTAAGACTCAAAACGTGTCACAACAGTTCTCTTGTATGCTTTTTGTATATAAAAAAATGAATCGTCATGCCTTTACAATTTTGCAAGTTGTCTACTTCACTTAAATTCAGTTAAAAACAACAAGTCGAAGTCTCTAAGTTGCACCAAAAAAAAAAAACACGATTATAATGTTAAAAGTAAAAGTTGACAACAAATCGTTGAAAACTTATCGATACGACCGGGCAGATTAGCGTTTTACATTGCGGCCGGTCACGTTCTAATGATATCGATCAATAAAAGTGATCATTTCTACTTTCTATCCATCCATCGATATCCGTTATACGGCGCGTAACAACACTAGTGGACCGTAACGACTGCGTAAACTCCACCGCGGCCGCGCAATTTACTATCTCCGAGCGGGGCCACTTTCGTTTTCATCGATGCAACTGAAATCCCATTTTAACATCGGCTCTCATAAATCTTAATCAAACTACCGCACGGGTTCAGTCCAATGGTTTATGGTTCAATCCCCGCTCGGTACAAAACCTTGTGATCCGTAATTGGTGCGTACTTCCCGACTAGAAAATCTTTTTTTCCCTCAAATGATTTTTCAATGATCATCAAACGGTATTCCTCAGAGGTTAGTGTTAATTTACTGATTCCATCGGCCTGTTTATCTATCATGTTTCGTTATAATTGATACAGGCCGAATCGCTGGACTTGTAATCTGAGGTTAGCAGTTCGAACACACTGTCGATCTGTAAGGAGTTTCCGTTTTTCCAGCCACTTCCATGCAAAAGACTTTATGCATAAACGTTCGCTCTCTGAGACTCCTGATAACGTTTAATGAGCAATAAGTCGTGTGTTACTTTCTGTGCTTACGTTAAATAATTTTTAGTATTAATTTAAGTTTAAAAGGGCGGGGGTCAAATTTTATTTAAGTGAAATGACCATAAAATCAGCATTTCTCAGCATTTAAAAAACATTACCCTTAACGTTGCCCTTGTAAGGACGTTTTACAAACATAAATTTCACGAGGAAAAAACTTACGCATCATCGGATGCGTAAAATATTTTTCTTTCAAGTTTTCAACCATACGGTTACATTAATTTAAACGAAATACTATTTATATTTTTTATAGTCATACAATGCAACGCCATTCATAAAAAATATAAATAGATATTTTTTATGAATGGCGTTGCATTGTATGACGTGGTTACATACATTTCTAAAATTGTAAAGTTCTTCGTCGTAAACATTGAATTTTATTGACAAGACCTAATATTTTCGAATGAAACAAACGTGAGTCTTCATTTCTTTTTATAAGTTGAAAACGAATGAAATAAAATTAAATGATTAATAATTAAATGAAATAAAAGTAGTCAACACCGTCATCAACATCATCGTCATCATCTCTGCTGCTTTCCCCTAGAAAAGTGTTTATTAAAGTTAGTAAAAGTATCTAAAATTTCCACGGACTGTTATTTAAAAGAAAAATAGGAAATTTTATTACCTATGTTAAAATAAATAAATTGAAAAAAAAAAAACTAACCAAATTTATTGGTCAGTTAAACATTTGCCACTTTCCAGGCTACCGTCTCCGCGCTCTCTGAGTCCGATGACTAATTCATTACATTCATAACGTTATTCAACCAACAAACGTATTGTGTACTGTTGTACTATATATACGACTTGGTATAATCTGTAACGTGTCGCTGTAATCGAAAAAAATCAGCGGTTCAGATATTCACATGTTATTACGAATAATATCGCAATATTATTCGTAATAACATGTGAATATCCTACGTGAGCCGTGATAGCTCACAGTCCGAGCGCTCGCTTTTAATTCCATATGCTCGAGTAACTTGACTGGACTGTTACTATACTTTAGTTACTTTTATCCTACGTGAAATAGAAATGTATGACTCCTTTAAAAACTTCTGGCGTATTTCGAGGAAGTTCATAGCACATCTTGCATTGCAGTGTATTGTTGGTAATGTTTCTACTATATAATTATAATCATAATTTCCCATACAATTCAGGGGACTTTCTTAATTTGCGACAACTAAAGGTGTCTCAGTAAGAGTCCACTTTTTAAAATTGGAATATTTTTTTTTTCATGCAATTGGCAACTCTTATATTTGACAGCTTTATTCCGATTATTAAAAATGAGCGCTTTTCTAAAGAACAACGCGTTATAATTGTGAAAACTCATTACAACAATGGGGAAAGTTACGCTGAAACCGCTCGCAAACTTCGCCAAATTTTCAGCCGAGAAAGTGCACCGTGTGAACCATTCGAAGAGTGGTCGAAAAATTTGAAGAAACTGGGTCAATTATTCATAATAAGAATCCTTTGCGTCAACGTACCGGTCGGTCTCTTGAAAACATTGTTGCTGTAAACTAGAGTGTCGCCGAAAACCCGAAAACATCGATTTGACATCGTTCTCAAGAACTTCAAATTTCACAAAGCATTGCGCAGCGAATTTTGAATAAAGACCTCTACCTTCATGCGTACAAGATTTAGTTAACTCAGGAGCAAACCAGCAGACCACGGAGAGCGCCAGCAATTCATTCAATGGGTAATGGAGCAAAGTGAAGTCGATGGCAATTTTTCGAAAAAAGTCATTTTCTCCGATGAAGCGCATTTCCATATGAATGGAATATTCGTGAATACACACAATTGTCGAATTTGGGAGCCAGAAAATCTGCATGCAATCCATGAGAAACAAATGCACCCACAACGAGTAACTGTCTGGTGCGGATTTTGGTAAGGCGGCGTGATTGGACCTTACTTTTTTGAAAATGAGGCCGAAATTGCAGTGACTGTGAACGGCATTCGTTACAGGAATATGATAACGGACTTCTTGTGGCCTCAACTGGACGGCATGAATCTGGACAACATGTGGTTTCAGCAGGACGGCGCAACCTGCCACACCGCGCATGAAACAATGGACTTATTATAGCAACGATTTCCAGAACACATTATCTCACAAAATTCTGATGTCAACTGGCCACCAAGATCGTGCGATTTAACGCCGTGCGATTTTTTTCTATGGGGTTTTCTGAAATCTCGGGTTTATGCGAATAAACCCGAAACAATTCCTGAGCTCAAATCTGAAATCCGACGCGTCATCGGTGAGTTACAGCCACATCTCTGTGCAAAAGTCATGGAAAATTTCATGAAAACAGTAATGGCCGGTCGGGGTCATTTGCCGGATATTTTATTCCATACTTAATTGGAACATGTCTTCTGTATAACACAATAAAAATAACACAAGTCTGTCATAAAATACTTGTTTTTATTTTATAATGAAAAAGTGCACTCTTACTCAGACACCCGCTATATATTATGTATCGAGACACCCTTTAATTGTCAACTTTTTTATTTTTTGCAATTTTTCCTTTATTTCATAAATCTTATTCTTACAAACTAGTTAAAAAGGCATAACTGAAAGTTACAGCAAACAAGTTTTTCTTGCGTCGTAGGATATTGTCATGGAGAATGCAATTTTACGATCCACGCAATGGCAGGTGGAGGAGGGCTGGTGGCAAGGTCGTCGGCAAGGTCGCGTCGGCGTGTTCCCGTCCAACTTCGTCGTGATGCTGGAACCGCCGCAACCCGCGCCCCCCTTTGAGCCCGCGCCCGCCCTGCCACCGAAACCTGGTGAGTATACAATTGTAACCAACCACCTAATCTGAACCGTTCGTTGAAGCTTTAATATTCTCGGGACTGAAAGCGTCAGTTACCTAATACAAGATACAAGCTCTAAGCGATTCCGATTAATATATATATTCTTATAATATATATATTAATCGGAATATATATATTATAAGAATATATATATTAATCGGAATCTCGGAAACGGCTCTACCGATTTTCGTATGTGCGTAGATTCGGCGAAAAATCGATTTAGCTAGTTTTCATGTTTAGAAAATGTCCTTTGATCCCTGTTTTCAGGGAATGAAACATATCATTCGAATATGACGGTATTCCGCTTATATTTCGCCGCAAAAAAAATTTATTATAGCTAGGTAATCGGGCGGCCCCAAAACAGACGGCCGCGGTTCGTATCACGATTATTAACACACTTATTTTTTTACTTTTTTTTCTATACCAGATCATTGCTTTCTTTATTATTTATTTTTTTATTTCCAAAATACATGATTTACCAAAAAAAAAAACTAGTCCTCCAGGTAATAAACTTTATGTGGACATGTAGTGGATGGAGAAAGCTAAAGTGAATATAAAGCATAAAACTTGTTTTCATTGATACTGTAAATGTCAAACAGTTGTACGAAGTAATGAGTTGGACAATTTTAATAATAAGTCTGAGAAAAGTAATCATTGAATTACGGTCGAATTTTGAACAATAGGCGAATTCTAGTAGTAATAAAATAGCCAGTTTTATTTTTTAAAGTCTATAAAAGGCATAGGCACCTAAGCGTATCACTTCTATCTATTGAAGCCTTTATAAGTAACGGATATCGAAAATCACCACGAAATAGCTTACTAAGATCCAAAACCACTACAGGAATTGGTAAGTGACGCAAGGACGGGAAAAAGTATTATTGTATACTTTTCTACTTGTAGCGGGAGACAGAAAATTATACTATGGTAAAAGCTGAGTGCATGAAACCGTAAAAAAAGTTCGATTACGAAAGTTTTTCAAATACAATGTTTCTGAATTCAATGTTTTACTTAATTAAACATAACTTTTCTTGTAATAAGTAACTACAAAAGCAAATTAAAGTAACAATGACATGACATGTTCACATTATTGCAATTAAGACATGATTTATGAGACATGATTTTCATTTAATACAGTTGGTCAGTGAGCTAAAATATGTTTAAGTTAAATAATCACAAGCAATTATCAATTTTTAATGCATTCTTAATATTGTATTTTGACATATATATTACATTCATAATGTACAGACCGACAGTCAAAGTTCGTGTTCCTATGAAGTCGCGAATAATAGTGCAACGACAATGAACATTTTCTCCGTAAGGCGAGAACTGGAGCAACGGGGCGAAATAAGAAATGCGTAGAGTGCGATGAACATACAATTGTATACGTTGTTTTTGTATAATCACGTTTTAGCGCCACTCTGCATTGTGGTGTGCAAGTTCATTGTCCGCGCCCTCCGCGTCCCCATTTAAAAGTTTTTTTTTAATTAAAGGAAATTATGAATTCTGAAATTGGGAGGTTAATAGATGATAAGTTTTTACTAATATATTGAATTCGGATTAGCGATTAGACATAAGTTACTGTTGAACTCATGATAAGTAAATTATTCATATGTTGTATGAGTGTCATATTTTCAATATTAATATTTTTCAATGTTTGACTATGGTGGAATAGCTTATATATAATACTGTTAATTAATTGGACAGCTTGTAAAAGCATGATTAATTAATAAAGTATACTTTAATTTTTTTTCCGGTGCGTAAACTGTACATTAGCTGTGGTTCTCGCTAGGTTTGGAAACATTTCTACGGCCTATTATAGTCAAAGTCAAAATTTCTTTATTTTATATAGGATTAATTTAAGCTCGTAAAATAACTACCACGGGTTTACTTAACTAAACTTGACCGGAGAAGAACCGGTAAGAAACTGCGGTCTTATGTCTGTTTTTTAAACGGTTTTATTTAGCTCGACCCGTACGGAATTTGTTTGTTTATTTGGGTCAAAATTAGAAATTGAAATTTAAGCACCTTCCCGTTGTCAGATTGATCTGAAATTTGGTACACACATTTAATTTAGATGACAATACAATATTGTAGTTTTCAGTGCACATAAAATAAAACCGTTTAACTTTAAAGTTTTTAAACGGTTTTATTTAATGATACAAGTATACAAAATTATTTAAGTATAAGAGTATCAAGTATTTTAATAAGCTACTAGCTGACCCGGCAAACGTTGTTTTGTCATATAAATTATTTGTAGGGTAGAAAAAAATGTTTGGGGTGGACCACCCTTAACATTTATTGGGATGAAAAATAGATGTTGTTCGATTCTCCACCCTGGCTGATATGCACAAAATTTCACGAAAATTGGTCGAGCCGTTTCGGAGGAGTTCAATTACAAACATTCAGTTACGGTGGTAGGGACACGCAGCAGCCTTGGCTGTTGCGCGAATGGGCAGGCCCGTCCGGGTAAATACCACCCTCACAGAAGATCGGAGTAAAGTGGAAGTATGACAAATACTTTCGCGTTTCGTCTGGTGATTGAGGTAGCCGGAGCCCAATTTTCAAAAGGTCAAATGCCCATAGGCGGCGGTATTCACTTAACATCAGGTGAACCACTGCTCGTTTGACAACTTTTCGCATAAAAAAAACCGTGACACGAGAATTTCATATATTAGATATAAGAATGTACTATTTTGTTTTTATGTTTAATAAAGTAAAGAATACACATAGCTATATTTTTTACTCATTTATCTTTGTAAATTTAAGTTTTAGTAAAATGACATTTAAAATTTATGAACTTATTTGTTATTAATTTCGAAATTAAAGGAATAATTAAAATAAGCTGTTTCTTTAATAATTTGATGTAGTGGAATTGTATGAATGTTTACGAATATATTACACCCAAAAGGAAATAGAAGAATCAATATATCGAAATAATCGCGACGGGATTGTTTGTTTTATCGCTTGACTCAATTGAGGAGTAAGTGAAATGAATCATCGTAATCGCTTTGACAGCAACAATAGGATTTAAGTCCTGCGTTATTGGACGACCCTTGACAAGTTTTGCTTAAAGAATCTTTTGACGCACAAGGTTTTGATGGAATAATAAACATTTCCGTTGAGGGAAGTGCAACAGACCAACAGAAAACCGTAAGCGTCGCGTACAAGCATTAATTCTTTTGCATTACTTCTGTTGAGTGAGGTACTTGAGTATATTTGCTGAAAGCTTGCACGTGTAAAATATTTTTTAATCTATCACACGCAACTACAACACTATGAATGAGGTGGACGCCATATGAAATAAAAATCAATATCGCCATTTGGATGTGAAGATCTGTTGGATTAGAACCCATTATATAAATAATAACATCTGATATATAAAATTCTCGTGTCACGGTGTTTGTAATTGAACTTCTCCAAAACGGCTCGACTGATTTTCGTGAAATTTTGTGTGCATATCAGCCAGGGTGGAGAATCGGACAACATCACAACAACATTTTTCATCACCCTAAATGTTAAGGGTGGTCCAAGAACAAATTTTTTTCTGACCTACAAATAATTTATGTGGCAAAACAACGTTTGCCGAGTCAGCTAGTAATATCTAATATGCCAAATTAATAATCTACATACGGGAACAATTTAGCGGGTCGCATTCCAATGCCGGTCGATTAAGTGCGCTTAGCATAATTCGATTAGAGGCAATTGTCTTTTAAACTTTGTTCTACTTGAGTTTCGAGCATGTTTCATTGTGGCATAGGGTTTGTCGTTGTATTCCAAGTTTAAGTACGTAATTGATTAGTGTCAATGTTGTTTTCTTTAAATCGTACCGTGAAATAGTCCTTCTTACGCACGCGTATTGGTTTTTTATTTTATTACACGGGCTATAAGTTTTATGTGTGCCGTATCCGACTGATCGATTGGTCATCTTTTGTCTTTAAATTGTGTTTTTATTATATTTATCGTTTGCAATTAGATGGTATCGCTTTTAAATAACAGTTCTTATCACACAAGGTTGTTTATTTAACTGTTTGATAAGGGACTATCCGGTGCGCTATTTTTTATATATATATTAATTTAAACTATTGTGACCCGTATAAAATCGCTCGATTAGGTCTTATCGCTTTTAGCGAAGTAAATGTAGTCTTTATAAAAAATTAAAATTATCCCGTGGATTTCCCGTGTACAATACCGTATGTTATATTTAATATATGTTTTTGTCATAAAGAGCGCTCAGATGGCTTTATTACCCGTTGACCTAATTCAGGTAGGGATCTTGAGAGCTTTCTGCTCGAGCGAAAAATTTGAAAACTGGAAATTGAATATGTTTTATTTAAAGTTAATATTGAGTTTATTACACTTGGTATAACAATGTTATTACTTTAGATACAAAAGTTTAGGTTTGGTATACGACTAAGTTTTTTGCACTTTCGGTCATAAATCCATACTTCTTTAGAGTTCCAATTAATTAGTTTAGATCCAGTGTTGATATCCAAGCCTCTATTCCAAAGTCCATAATTTAAAATGTTGGACGTCAAAACACTATTAAGTTCATAGATGCCTGATTCACGGTTAAAGTCAATCGTAAGTGTATTTCGCCGTATATAACACATTGAAATGCACACGCAATAATGAGCTTTTTTAATGTGAAAAGTTGCCACGCGAGCAGGTGGTTCACCTGATGTTAAGTGAATACCACCGCCCATGGACATCTACTACACCCAAGGGTTTGCCGATGCGTTGACAACCTTTAGAAAATTGGGCTCCGGCTACCTCACTCACCAGACGAAACGCGAAAGTATTTGTCATACTTCCACTTTACGCTGATCTTCTGTGAGGTCGTGGTACTTACCCGGACGACCCTGCCCATTCGTGCAACAGCCGAGGCTGCTGCGTGTCCCTACCACCGTTAAAGCTACCGAGGCTTGTTAGCTAGTGGCTTCCTCCACTCTGCAGTCACGCGATAATGAGCCCAACTGCCCACCAGTTAAGGAGCAATGCCGCGTGTTGTTCCCGTACACGGCGGTGAACGAGGACGAGCTGACTCTGGCCGAGGGCGACGTGGTGACCATCGTGTCGAAGGACGCGCCCGACCGGGGCTGGTGGCGCGGCGAGCTGCACGGCCGCGTCGGCCTGTTCCCGGACAACTTCGTGCAGCTGCTCCCGCCCGGTAAGATCGTCTTTTTTTTGTTTTCTCCCGACCTCGAAAGAGGATGAGGTTCTACATTCGGTTCTGTTTCTTTTCTAACTGTCGTTAAATCAGAACTCTGTCAAATAAGAAGCTATTTTTAAATCTCTTTTATTTATAAAAATCACCGCACATTTAAAATGCCGTAGACTAAATAAAACTAGATAACCATGACACAAGATATTATATAACTTAACATCAAGTGAACCGCCATCCCGCTTGCCACATTTTCTCATAAAAATAAAGTCGTAATGTAATATCATTAGCTATATATGAAAGTTTAAACAAACGAGTAACAATTGAAGATCAAGGTGACAAAAGCGGTTTTCTTTGCCCACTTGTCCGTATTTTTAATTTCATTAAAAGTACATACAGTTGTTTCGAATGTGTTGTTAAACAGGTTTTGATTGAATGATTTAAACGACGACAGTGCAGTACGGTTATAGGTTATGATGAAGCTAATAAACTAAAAATTGATCATTGTTGCTCATCGTATTCGTTTATACTTTCCAATCGTTTCTCGATTACAAAAAATAATATATCGGTGTTATAACATTGCCTTACAGATAAATAATAGTATAAATATTAATCTTCGATCTTTACAACATAAAAGCGGCCACGAACACAAGTTTGTTTTCCAATTATGGGAAGAACAATCAGCGCCTGCACTTTGTCTGCGTACACTTTATGGACTTCGAAGTTACGTTACTCGCATGAGTAATATATCAATGTTTATTGTTGATTGTCCAATGAGGTAGTAGTTGTATGATTGTGAATACGGTTAATCCTCGTTAGATTTAACAGTAGCAAAGGATTTGTCATGTTGGTTCGGCACAAGTAATAATTAAGTTGTTAATTATATGTTGCTGAAGGCCTTTTTAACCGACTTCAGAAGGAGGAGGTTATTAATTCGGATGTTTACATTTTTTATGTACGTTCGGGCATAACTCCATCATATACATATAGACGGATTTCTTTTTTTTTAAAAAGTGTTTTATTCCGAATTTTATTCGGCCGGTCGTAAAAACCATAGCCAAAACTGCTTACAAGATAATGGAATAAAGTGGGTTAAAGGCAAATAAATGATTATACATATACGTATATTGTTTACCTAATATTACTTTTACATTTCATTTTCAAATTTTTTAACGACAGGAAATCGTCACCTTCATTTCATTTAAAACTTTAGGTGTTAAGTGATGACCGCCAGTCTATCGATATATCTACCGATGAACAGACGAAAAAAAGAACGCAGATGCATTGCTACCTTATAATAGTAGACCCCGGCTAACTCACTCACCAGACGAATTATAACACTTCCACGTCACGCTGGTCTTCTGTGAGGTCGTGGTGCTTACCCGGACGGACCTGCCCATTCGTGCAACAGCGATTGTTGCGTGGCCCCACCACAGTTAACTTGTAATGTTATTCAAGTATTCTGTATTTGAGGTTGATTTAATGAGTTTCAGAGTGCGGTCGAAAGTTATTCCACGATATTTTCTCGTCAAAATGGTTTAACGGAACGTTTCCCGCCAACTGCGCTTGTAGTGGCTGTGCATATTATTAATTCAAATTTCTAGACACGCTATCTTGTTCATATGGACCGTGAAGTCTCATTACCAAATTACCAGTGCGCCACATGCTAATGCGGGCAGGCTTTGAATCCAGGACCGTAGTATCGGCGGACGGGTACGTTGACCGCTAAGCCACGCGAGCGTGACGTATGAATTTAACAAAATATAAATACAGGGAGATTTTTTGAGAAGTGCCCAAATTTACACAGGAGGTTCAGACTCGGTAGTATCGTATCGTAATCGTTTATTGAAATAAAAATAAAAGTTGTTTTTTCCAAAAAAAAAATGCCATTCTATTCCCTTAAAAACAGAACGTGTTGATAATGCGGTAGTCATTCATAAATACCTAAATTTTACTGTGCACGAACATGTGTGCGTGTTAGTTATGAATGATCGCGAAATAAATTAGTTGCGTATAAATCACGCACTTTTTGAGATAAGTCAAATGAATGTAATTAATTGTGATTTTAATTTGTATTTGAAATTATTAAAAAAAATGGATACACTTAGAAAAGCCACTCTGTATATTGCACGGCACGCGCTCCCGTCCCTACTGAATTAGGAAATTTTGTTACAGTCCAAAGAGCATAACAACACCGTACGTCTAAAACGGGAAATTCCGTTTTATCGATAACATGCATCCGTTTTATTCGCGATTAACTAATCATCTGGCGTCTGTATTTCGCGGAAAGCTATTTTATTCCGATTCAGTAATTAAATAATTGTCCCACAACCCACAGGCGATTGGTTGTAGCTTAACGTGAATGCGATACTATACATCTCTAATTGTGTTAGTAAACAGCTGTCTGCCCACGATTGAGCGTTCGATGTTGCTATTGACATTTCTCGTGAAGGTTGCGAGCGGTCGTGATTTTGCGTAACTTACCTCATCGCCGGTCTTAGTCGTGTTTTCGTTGTTGGCTCGCTCATGCCGATACTAAGTTGTGACACGTCCGAGGAGGAAGCCTTTTTTTGTGTTCTTTTTTCGAAATGGGTGTTGAAAGTGAGTGCTGTGGCGATAACTTTTTTAAGCAATTATTATATTGTGTGCACAATTCGAAATTCAAATAATTTTATCTTTTATTATTCTAGCCATTATTTGTGAATGTGGTAATTTGGAGTAATTTTTATCGACTATATAGTTTTAAAAAGTAAACCGCCTTGAATTATGTCAATTATTGACTTATTATATCGATTAGTATCAATTTTATTGTTGTAAAAGTTAATTTAGTGTTTTATAATATCTATTTCATTCGCGCATCTGATATTAACTTTCGATTTCGTTCTCTATATACTTAAATCGTTTGGTAATAATATCGACAAGGTCATCATTACGAAATGTCTATTAAGTCCATTAAGTTCGCATTTTATTTAACGGTGTTAGCATATTTTTGTTAATCACTTTGAAATTACGACAATTTTTAAATGTGTTGTCAATGACAATAAAAAAGTAGTAAGTATTTAATTATTTAACAATTAGTTATTACAGGAAATTATTGTTATTTAGACTCTAAATGTTAGACTAGTGCGAACTATTTACAACTGGATGTTAATTGTTAGACAATTCACTTTTAGTTTATACGATTTTAGTATTTATTGGAATGGTTTAATTTTTCATCCGTAGTAGCGCTGTCTTGGACTGAACAGATACATAGATATTCTCCTATCGGTATGCTGTAAATTATGCCTAATATTATACTCGTGAAGAGCAGCGTATATATTAGCCTACGTTTTATTTATTCATTTGATCATTCGTAATTTAGAAACATCTTTTAGATTCAGAGTTGGTCGTAGCTATTATTCTCATACTTTTATTTATTTATTAAGGTCCACTACACCACTGGCCACTACCCGAGTTTAACACTATTAAATGAAAAATAAATACTGCAGTAATTATAACTTACTGTACAACTATATGGAGGTAAACACAAAATACCATTCTTACATAAAAAGTAAGAGACTATTTAATTCCCAAAGTTTGCTAAGACCTCCGTACAGATGGTATTAGGGCATAGTCCACCACGCGACACCACTGAAGATTGGCGGATTTCACATATCTTTGATATTGAATAGGTTCCCTCGCCATGTTTTCTTTCACCGCTGAACACGTGATATGCCAGCACTTAAAATTAACAATTTGGTCCCGGCACCGGGGATCGAACTCGGGACGCTCGAGTATATTGAATTAATGCGAGCGCGACAGCATTGATTAAGAACTGCTTAAAATAGAAAGAAACAGCATTGTGAACCTGTAATACACTGTAAAACGACAAGCAAGCATGCAAAATAAAAGTAAAAAAAAGTAAAGTAACAGCCTATACATGTCCCACTGCTGGGCAAAGGCCTACTCTATACAGAGGGTATCAGGGCACAGTCCACCACGCGGCCCCACAGCGGATTGGCGGACTTCACATATTTTCGAAATACATTTATGATGCAAAATAATGGCTTTGAAAATACTAATTTTGATTCTGAACAAAATATGCGAAACATTTCCCGACGGTTGATTATTAGTTACATTCGATGTCGTCTGAACATTGCATCCATGTTTCTTTCGCCTTAGAGCCACTTATGAAGCAGCGCGTGACGTCTCAGGTGTTGTAGACTTCTATTAATGGGTGTTTATTCACTTGAACAACTGTGGTAGGGCCACGCATCAGTACTCACTGTTGCACGAATGGGCAGGTCCGTCCGGGTAAGTACCACGACCTCACAGAAGACAGGCGTAAAGTGGAAGTGTTACACTTCTGCGTTTCGTCCGGCGAGTGAGGTAGCCGGGGCCCATTTTATTTAAAGGTGGCAACGCATTTGCAACCCTACAGGTTTTGCAAATTTTCATTGGCAGCGGTTATCACTTAACATCATATGAACCGCCAGCTCGGTGGCCACTTTCTCACATTAAAAAAAAAACTTGAACCGTCTGCTCGCTTGCTGTACTTAAAGAAATACGTCAGACTAACGGCCCGCCAATAAGTGGCTCTTACGTATCGCCAAATTAAATCTCACGGCTGTAGTGACTGTGTGTTGTGTTATGAATAATCTAAACTAAACGACCGTATCTCCGTTTTCAGTAACCCAAGAGGTGGAAGAGAAGAAGCCAGACAGGCCGCCGAGCAAGACAACCAACGCCATCTACCCGGTACTGAACAAGTACTCCGAGAAGACCGCCTCCGTAAAAGAGCTCACCACGTCTAAAGTCAGGTCAGTGAAAGACTCTTTGAAGTGAAACGCCTTAGGCGGCGATTCGGTGATCGGACGGGAATCGATTGTGGAGTTTCGAGGACGCGTCGCGATTATGCAGATTTGATAACACGAGCGGGAATAAAAGTATATGTCGCTGTCTCTATTAGTAAATTTATCTCACTCTGTCCCTCACGGTAAATGTCAATATTATTTTATATTTAATTGTGCAATGTATTATAGGCATAAAACCTTTTCTCTTGAATCACTCTATCTAGTAATAAAAACCGCATTAAGATCCGTTGCGTAGTTTTAAAGATCTAAGCATACATTGGGACAGACAGACAGCAGGACGAATTTGATTTATACTATGTAGTGAAGAAGTGTCACGTCTTTAATGCGAACGGTGTTGCAATTTTAATGTGTAGGTGGTCCACCCGATGTTAATTGATGAAGTTTAGCCATGAACATGAAGGGTAAAATAAATTTAAGGGCAAAAATAAATAATTCTCAAACCTGAAATTTTTCTTTTGGGAATTGTTAAGAATTAAAAAAATATTTAATTACTGTGGTAGGGCCACGCAACAGTCTTTTCACTTTCAATAATGGGCAGGTCCGTCTGTATAAGTACTATGACCCCACAGAGAACCGGCGTGAAGTGGAGGCTGTATACTTCTGCGTTTCGCAGTTCGTGAGTGCGATAGATAGATTCGTAGAGTGTATTAAAAGGTAGCAATGCATATGCAACCCTACGGGTGTTGCAATTATCCATGGGCGGCGGTTATCACTTAATATCAGGCCAGCCGTCAGATCGTATGCTGCCTTGTGACATAAAAAAAAATATGATACATACAGCGTCATACGTGCAAACTCGTAAAATGTTGTGACAAATCGCACTGTATAGTTCGATTTTAAATAACTATTTCTTTATGGCATCGTTACAGCTTGCACAAAGAGAATACCGTAAGCAAGGAGAGCAGCACGGCAAGTACTGTCACGCACACGAGCAAGAGTGAGACCGAGAAGATGGTTCACAACGAGATTGTCGTCGACGGGGCGATCGATGGTCAAGTTAGTACGAATTATAAATGACTAGCTGCTGCCCGCGGCTTCGTCTGCGTTGAATAGTCTGAAGGCGTAACATTCAGACAGAAACACAGATATACATAAAATATGTTTATAAATTATAGCCTATGTGTTGTTGTCATGTATAAACTATATTATTGTAAAGTTGCATTAAAATCCATTCAGTAGTATTTGCTTGAAAGAGTAACAAACATCCATGCATACATACAAACTTTCGCGTTTATAATATTAGTAAGGATAATCTTCTAACTTCTTCTTTCTCCTGAATAATGCTACACCTAGGCGGGGTCGGCACAACATCTGAATAGTGCCGTTGATGGTATTAGCTTTTTCTAGTCAATCCTCCTTGAAAACACTTACAAATTCTTGTCCCGTGTGGGAATCGAACGCACTACCCCCGGCGCCGAGGCCAATGGCTTAGCGCTGCGCCACCGTTTCATCGACTTCCTTTTAAAGTGATCATAATTGGTCAAATTATCATTGATCGGATGATAATGAACATTAAAAGTTGAGTTCTGGAGAGTGCCCGAAACTTTAGTGCAACATAATCAAATTTTGTTGTTAGCTAGCATTGTCTCTTTTATCAGTGGTTAATCAAATTAAATCTAGGCCAAAACATTGCACAGTAATTATCGAATCGGAACTTTCTGCATTGGTCGGATACGATATTAATAATTTTAAAATGAAATTCTTTCTCTGTCTCGTGACCAAGACGTTGTAAAATTTTCAAAATGTCGGGAATTGAAATCGAAAACATGTATTTTCATTTCATAATAGTGTTCCTGTTTTCTATTACGAGAAATTAATATTATTTATCTGTATAGCTAAATTAGTGGATTAAGGACTTGTATATTGTTCATTGTATCGATCAAAATCAGTCGGCTTGCACACAAAATATTGAAAAGTAAATTGTATTATCGCATTAGATGACAATCATGATTTAGTATTTTCTTATCATTACATCCACATCGATGAATTTAAGTGTTAAGATACTTTCCCTGTTACAAGGATTAATTTCGTATTGACGGCATGTTTGAAATCGTTTTATGAGTTACTGATAAAGATATTTGGTAGAAAATATTTTGAAATTTCTAGTCGTGGATGTTATTAATCTATAGAAAAATTTAAGATTAATTTGCAAATATTTTTAATATGGATGCAATTGTCGTATGATATTGTGGTATATTTCAATATGATGAAATAAAACTAAACATATCGACCCGACAACAGTCTGTTAGACATTGAACGTACGCATGAGCACATGTTTTTATTTGTCATTTGTTGTTATAGCGGCAATAGAAATAAATCATCTCTGAAAATTTCGACTTTCTAACTATCACAGTTCATGAAAGACAGCCTGGTGATAGAGGGACAGACAGACCGAGGAGTCTTAGTAATAGGGTCCTGTTTTACCCTTTGGGTATGGAACCCTTAAACATCACCAAAAGTTAAGTAAAGTAAGACCCTATATAATTATGTCTCACTGATGGATCTTCTCTGTACAAAGCGTATCAGGGCAAAGTACACCACGAGACTGCACTGCGGATTGGCGGACTGCACACATCCTCGAAATATGTTTTTTTTTTTTGTTATTATTTCAATAACATGCTGGTTTCCTTTAAAGCTGAGCACGTGATCAAATACTAGTCGAAGTAAAGCAGTTCAGTTCTAATTCGATGGTGTATTGTAAATGTTACTAAATTCTGTTTGTAGGTAAAGAAGCCTCCGGTGCCGCTGAAGAAGAGTCCAACCCCGAGCTCTGGCGTCGGAGGTCTCTTCAGCGGCCTCAAGAACAAAATGCTCTCGTCCGCCGACAAGTAAGTGCTATCTCACTTCGCATGATTGGGTTCAATAGCCAGCCGGATTTTTTGGGTATCGCTGTTGTTAAAGTAATATGTTATATTAAGTTCCAATTTTTTTTAATTGCACATACGTCGTATCTAACTTGTTGTTTTTTAAATATTAACAAAAAAAAAAATGCTTTAAAACTTTGATAATTTTTTTTATTTTTACATAACATATGGTTTTTTCGAATTAGTAGTATTGGTGTTTTAATTGTATGTATGTGTCAGTTTAACTTTGACAGAGATACTCACAAGATACTTTACCGTAGAAATACGATGTTACTTGAATTAGTTATGTATTTATTCTCTCGAAAACTTAAGCCCTCTCTTAAGCCTCTGCCCTGCAAAAAGCGACAAGGAACCTTTTGTTTTTAGTAACAATGGAATTTATTCAATACACGAAACGTGCATCGCATAAAGAGTGTCGTAGTGTTAAACGTTAATTGCGGTTTAATATAAAAAAGTATTTTGAGATAATTTTATTTCTTTAAGTGGTCGGGTGATCAATAAAACTTTGCAAATCGTGACGGTCATTAATCATGCTATCTTACAGATAATATTTTCAAATATTTTAAATGTTCCTCATTGCCTGCCGGTGGGCTGTTTATTAATAAAATAAAATTAACTGAAAAAATAATTGCCCTAACCATTCAATGTGATATCATACTACAGGCTAGTACCACGTCCTATAGTATCCTTACTATTATTATAAAGGCGAAAGTTTGTATGTATGGATGGATGTTTGTTACTCTTCATACTATGTTTTATTCAGTCGTTGAATTTGTAGGCCGGCCGGGTCATATTGGATGCTTTCTTTTCTGAAGTCTGCCAAAAATTTCATAGTGTGTAAGAAGGAACAAATTCCACTGATGTTGTTTTCATGTCATTGGTGTCTCAATTCAATCACTCACATCAATTTTCTCCATTTTATAAAATCGATTGGTCTCATTTACCATGTTTTGCTTTAAAAAGCACAAATTCTCCCGCGATAAAAGTTCACACTGTAATGTGAATATAATGAAATCAATAACAGTGTATAATTTAAAATGTGATTTATATGTGAGGCTGCGAACTTATCAATCCCAGTAAGCTCTTATTATTTTTTGAATCAACTCGAGTCACTGGATTCAAATAATGCCTAGAGTAGCATCCCTATTTGAAAACTACCCTAATGGCAATAACCATAGTTAACGAACAAATCTTACTGAATAAAAATTATCTGAGTGTATAAAACTAAGTAGTAGCTTTCTCTTCTTTACTACCTGTTTCGAGAGCAAGACAGAATGATATTCTCACTTCAGTCTCACAACTCTACTATATAAACTTTGATTTGACATAAGAAATATCGTGATGGAATCTACAATTTAGCGACTCCGAGCGGTCGATTCGATTCGCACGTACGTATAATCTTTGGCATTTTCAGTTTCTCTTTCACTGCCACGGTTTATAGTTGTCGGCGCAGCTATAAATGTCGCTGTCGCGGAGGTAGCGACTTTAAAGCCTGATTTACATTGGTCAAGGATAGTGGCGCGTAGTGGCGCGTTACGGTGGTAGGGCCACGCAGCAGCCTCGGCTGTTGCACGAATGGGCAGGCCCGTCCGGATAAGTACCACGACCTCACAGACAAGTACAGTGGCCCCTGGCGGGCATCGCATAAGTGGCTGTTTACACTGCAGCATATCCAGTGGCAATTTTCCGTTGAAATGGACGAGCAACGTCAAATAATACGCGCAATTTAGTTGTCCGTTGCCGGCCACTGTACTAATTTGACTGTTTACATTTAAGCCCCGATTTACACTGATCAAGTGCTTAGTACAGTAGTGTAGACCGTCGGACTGTGGTACTAAACGCTTGATCAGTGTAAATCGGGCTTTATGTCAAGTGACGATTCAAGTGCCCCGCGGGGCGTTGAGCGAGTACGAGAGGGGTGGACTTGCCCCCAAAAAATCGAAAGCGATTCCATTTCGGTCTAGTTGCAAGGCAGCTTGCAAGCCAAGTTGATTCGCTACAGTCCGATGGTTTACACCACTGTACTCGTCTACTTCACTTAACGCTTGTCTGGTGTAAATACGGCTTAAGCGATCGTTTCCGTCAGCACATTCGTATAACCTGCGGTACTTTCAGTTTCTCTTTGAGTATCACAGATTATAGTCGTCGAAGCTACCGGGCGGCGCGGTGGTAGCGCCTCCAAGCGTTCGATTTTGTCAGCGAGTTCGTAAAATCTGTAGGAGTGAGATATACTAGGTTAATTCGAGTACCTGTTACGCCTGTTTCTGTTCCTTAAAAGTAACAGCGGCAATACCTGTTACAGAATAACAGCCTGTTATTTCATACTATGTTCTGGCAATTTGTATAACTGTTACCATAACATACTGTAACAGCTGTTACAATAAGTTATTCTATGGTACCGTCCGTACTTCCCTTTCTAACAAAGCTATAAGACAGATGCAAGAAAACGAAAGAGCTTGTTTGTTGAACAGCGACAGTGTTCAGTAGACACTGTGACAAGTTGTAACACTTTTTATATATTTTTAACTAAGGTAACGGTCGTAAGCATGAATAAAGAAATGCTTGTGACAGCGTGTTAAGGAGCAATTCGTGTGGAAGATACTTGTTATTTGTACCTGTTACAATAAATACGCGTATATATAAACTGTGGCAGGGCCACGCAGCAGCCTCGTCTGTTGCACGAATGGGCAGGCTCGTCTGAGTAAGACGGCCACGAATTCACAGAAGACCGGCGTGAAGTGGATGTATAATACTTTCGCGTTTCGTCTGGTGAGTGGCGTAGCTGGAGCCCAATTTTCAACCCTCGGGTGTAGTAGATGTCCATGGGCGGCGGTATTCACTTAACATCAGGCGAACCGCCTCCTCGCTTGGCAACTTTTCACATAAAAAAATACGCCTCACTCCCAATGTGGCGCTTTCAGAGAGAAGTCGTCGACGTTGTCTAGCGGCAGCAGCAGCGGCGGCGAGTGGGATAAGACCGACGGTGGCGCCCCTAGCAAGGCAGCGGCGAACGCGCCCGCAACGAGCAACGCAAACGCAAACACAAACGCAAACGCAAACGTGAACACGTTCGACCACGTCGAGAGGAACTCCATACTGAACGACCCTCGCGCCGGCAGGTGGGTGCGAAGCCAATAAAAATCGTGTACTCGACACGACGCGCATTGGTCGAGGATCGATCGAAGTTTCATAAGTTACGAATAAGGCAATTTTAGGGGAATTTTTCACGATGACTCCGTGGTGCAGTTGCCGAGGTATTGGCTTCGGCGTCGGAGGTCGTGGGTTCGATTCCCACACGGGTCTGGGTACATGAAATTTATGTTTGTAAAACGTCCCTACAACACAGGATAATGTTATCCTAAAGTGAGGGTAATGTTTAAAAAAAAAAACTAAACAAAAACTAAAACTTTTCTAAGACTCATTTACTTAAGGACTTTAAAAAAACCTTTACTTAACCCGGATCTGTACGGGCTGAAAAAACTGTTAGCCCTTATAAAAAGTGCATAGTAATTCGCGGAAAACCCGAGTTCGACTCGTGGCTCCTTCAGAATCATACAGAGATTGGAGAGCAATTTGTGCAAACACTGCACAAATTGCTGTAAGGGTCGGATTCGTTACCTTAGCTCCCAATTACTTACATTAAATTATATTGCGCATTAAGTGGTCTATTTCCAAATATTTAATGCCAGAAATAACGGACAATACTAGTTGACAAGTCTAAATGTGCCTAAGTAATTACCGGCACGATATCGGATTATGTACTGGACTATGTAACCGGATCACATAGAGTTGCAGATGTCTCGCCAACATATTATGAGAGTGGGCAGCGGCAACACACTCACAGGGCGAAATGCTGAACTACGAATAGTTTTATATCTCGACATTTGGTCAGCTCTTGCCTCAGACAAGTCTAACCATTCAAGCAATAACAGAAGCAAAACTGCTGTGTGTCAGTGTAGTTACACACCTCAGCGGCCACAGTTATTATGCTTCTATTGTTAAACTTAGTTTTTTTCTGTTGTGTGCGTTTTTCTCGGTAAATAAATGTATATTCTATTATTACATCTTTGCTTCAGAGTTAAAGCGCCGCGACGCCGACCCCCTAGTCAAGTTCTTCGCGATGATACGCCCCAGCAGATTGGACTGAGCAACGGACATGAAGGTAAGTTGTAGTTTTTTTTTTTTCAATATATCGAATTTCCTTCAGCTATGCTTTAATCTATATTAATGGCCACTATCTAATCGATCGAATGTATCGATTTGAAATTATTCGGTTTTACCAACTATTCACCGAACAACCATTTCTCAGATGTCTGTTTCGTCTGGACTTCACATAGCTTCGGTAAACTTCCTGCCGAGCGTCCCAAAAAGGAGTACAATATTACATTTATTTTTCGACCGATCCCAAGTCCGCCAATCCGCAACGGGGTCGCGTATTTTTTTAAACATTGCCTTACTGTAGGATAACATTAATCTGTGTTTGTAGGACGTTTAACTTACATAAATTTCATGTGGACAAACACTCAGATGCGAATCCCATGGTACTGCGCTTGAGCACGAACGGACAAAGAGAACCCTCCCCAAAACATCTTCATCTTGCATAGATTAGCAAGAGCACTTCGCGCTATTGCTAGTCTATAAACCCAACCCAACGTCCCATTAAGCCGCCTTTCATGACGGGTAGGGGATACCTAAATCCTATTCTATGAGCCCGGGACTACAGGGCTGCTAATTTATCGAGCTACCCAACAGTGAATGAATGAATGAATGAATGAATGAATGAATGAATGAATACACTTTTATTGTCCACCACAAATAAGAGTGTACACAAAAGTAACAATAGAGCGACAATTTCACACAGCGCCCACCGAGAGGCCGCCCGCCGAGAAGCAGGAGGAGATAAGGCCGCGCGCGCGCGAGTGGGAGAAGCACCGCGCGCCCTGGATGGAGGAGCTCAAGCTGAACCAGGCGAAGAAGACCAGCTTCGGCGAGACCAAGTCCCGGTCGGTCTCCACGTCGTCGGAGACCGGCGTCGCCAGCAAGGCCGGCGGCGGCAGCACCGACAGGTAACTGCTTCAGTCGATCCAGTTCCGTTCATGTTACGATCCAGTTCGATTCAGTTCGATGTTCCGTTCATGGTAGGGCCACGCAACACCTTTGGCTGTGCACTTTTGTTGGCTCTTGTTATTTTTAAACATAACTTTAATTTCCGAAAGGAGAGTGCTAATGGTATACACTCCCCTGTGGAATTTTGATGATTTGAATCGGAAAGATGATTATAAATCGTTAATTGTTTAAAACAAAGCGTATTATGGTCCGTCTCGGTAAGTAACACGACCTCACACAGAAGTCCGGCGTGATGTGGAAGTTTTGTACTTCTGCGTTTCGATTGGCGAGTGAGGCAGCCGGGGCCCAGTTTATTAAAAGGTGGCAACGCATCTGCAACCCTACACGGGTGTTGCAGATGTCCATGGGCGGCGGTTATCACTTAACGTCAGCTCGCTTGCTACCTTGTCACATAAAAAATATTGTATAAGAATAAATTGATACATATGTACCCCGTTCTGAACGAAATATTATAATTTTGTATAAAATAATTTTATACAAAATTTAAATATTACAGGACATTTTTTTACAGTAAGTAACTTGTAATATACTTATTGTAAACTAAGTAAAGCTTGTATTATTGGTACTAGGTAACTGATAAACATATTAAACGTACTTCTTCTATAAATAAATACACATTATAGATATACAGCGTGTCGTTACAACCGCGACATTATATGAACACACGTCTAACGCTACTTGCACATATTCATAAAAAATCCTAAATTAAAAAAAAATCAAACAAATTAATTAAATAAAAAAGAAACAAAATTTGTAACATCCTATACAGCTACAACTGGCAGATTCATACATTCAGAGACTTTCATTCGTTGACACAGCGTCGCGTTACAAGTCTCTCCTTCTAACAGCATGTTTTATCTCTTTTAAATTCATTCAACCCATTCATATGCTTTGTGACCTTTTGAACCACAAATGAACTTTACATTATACTTTTATACGTAAGGATGTTCTAAAATTTTTTGTTTTGGAAAATTTTATAACTCTGTGAATGATGTTTAAAGAATGTTAATGTTTAATACAATTTTAAAAAGTTATCCTCAATAAATGTGTGTTCATGTATTGTCGCGGTTGTAACGACACGCTGTATAAACACCCATACACTAGAAAAACACTATGTTCCTCACATAATTTTTCCTGTAGTAGGCATTGCACCCACACCCTAATACGCTAGAACCGGGCTTACTATCCATTACGCACATCGGGGTCGTCGGTGTATTTTAACGAATAAGTTACTTTGATAAGCAAAATCAATTTTTGTGTTAGAAACATGATGAAAAGTTTATATACCCATTCCTTTAGTTATTCCCCCACCATGTCATCCCATTTATTAATCTCAGTGCCCTTTATTAAAATAATTGACCGTCACTGGAAACTTTTAATTGAGAAAGCATATCCGTTTCCGTCGATTTGTGTCAGTTTTAGTACCTGTATTGACCTTTATATCCTGTCCAGTGGCGCCACCTGGCAGTTTGCGTTTCACTTGGTTTTCCTAAAATGCTAAGCGCAATTTTAATTCATTAGCGTTTCGTCTTCCGTCGAAGTGACTTGTGCTTACGTGAAATCTTGCTTGAGTGAAATAGTGCACTTAATACAAAATTGAAGGCAGAGTTTAAAACAAATAAGTGCTAACAAAATCTTACGGGGAGTAACAGCTTACTTTATGAATCGTCTGGTTCTTTTGGAATTTGAGTGCAGATAGACGTAAGTACAGTTGATTTTGGAAATAAAGTGGTGTGTACCTTTTCTTATGACCTTATTCTACCCTACAATTCAAGAGGTACTTGTTTCATGAAATATAGTTCTTAATTTAACGGTTATTGCCGTTCGAATACATTTTAAAATTAAAATAGTGCCTATTACAATAGTAGATTATTTTATGTTTAGAACAGAACTCTCAACGTAGTCGTCGCTTGCGCAAAAAGAAAAATAAGCGGCGACGTAAAAAACAGATGATGGTCAAACTGTTTGAAGAAGTGGGTGAGTTGCGCAAAGACATTTTATCTAATAATTTTGATAATGCTCGCCATGACAATGCATCATGCCTTTCTGATATTAGTGCAGAACTTTATGATCATAGCGGTGCCCATGAAATAAACTATTGTGAAGACGTTGACTTCACTTTTGATGTTGGAACTAAGTTGAAAGAGCCATTGATTTCAAAAACTCCCAATGGCTATTTAAAGTTGCTTATTGATGTACAACGCTTAGGCAGTGCATCCTGGTCAGAAGTAAGGTATGCAGATACGCAGAAGTCATATAATTTCACGCCAGGTTTCATAGACCTCGAAACAAACGATGAGGTGAAACCATATGATAACTTACGTCACTTAGCACATAGTGAAAAAGCGTATGCAGCCTTGACCTACGGCATTTTAAAGCAAAAGGAGGCTCTTCAGGATAGCGTACGCAGAGCCGCTTACCGCAGCATTAGAAAAGGTCGGTGGCGTCGGAAAAGCCTTTTGGCCACCAAAAGCAGACGCGAGACCTTACTCTAACCGCCCCTCGCGGGGGTAAGGTATTCGTAATCCAACAGTTCCATCGCGTGGAACCCGATATACTTTTCATGAACCAGCCATATGCACACACCCATATGGCTGTAGAAACCCACCCTCGCGGGGTGGTCACCAATATACCAACTGGGAAGGTCAAACTTAATCGTCAAACAAACGATATGACAGCCACTCTTATGGGAGAGGATCTCATCAAAACCGTGGCTCGCGGCCCGATCGTTCAAATAATCGAGGTCGTCCCAATGCACAAAAGATTACAAGAGGCACCCAAAACAGGCACAAACAATGACTCGAGAAGTTTCCAAGCAGGTCGGCTAGCGAAGTACAGCACAAGTACAGTATGGCAAGAAATGGGAGCACCAGAAATAATACTCAGGTTGATTCATGGGTATCGAATCCCTTTCCTTCAAAAACCCCCTCTGGTACTTCCAAAATTAATGAACGGCTCGTTTCATACTCCTGTGTCAGAACAAATGACGGGCATTATACACAAAATGAAGGTACAGGGCATTTTAAAAGTAGCTCATCCCCAAGTTTTATTTCCCCTCTATGTCTAGTACCCAAGTCCGACGGATCAGTCCGTCCCATATTCAACCTCAAAGCTCTAAACAATTATGTGCTGGCCGATTCATTCCACTTGATAAACATGTATCGCATACCAGACTTCCTCCAACCCCGAGACTGGATGTGCAAAATAGACTTGTCCCAAGCATATTTCCACTTGAAAGTAGCGAAGTCCCACAGACGCTTCCTACCTTTAATATACAATCACGAATTGCTCGAAATGACCTGCCTCCCGTTCGGGTTAAGCGCAGCTCCAAAAACCTTCTCAATATTGACGAATTGGGTAGCCCAAACACTACGAGACAAGTGGCAGGTAAGGGTTATAGTTTATTTGGACGATTTCTTAATAGTACATCAAAATGTTCGCATATTACGCGAACATGTCGATCTGGCTGTTCAATTTCTACTGCATTTGGGATGGCAAATAAATTTCGAGAAGTCCAAACTTCATCCTCAAAAAAGCCTGAAATATTTAGGAATAACGTGGAATCCATGGGACAACCTGAAATCTTTACCAACAGAAAAAACTGTTACAATAACTCAAAAGATAAGGCTTACTCTCAGACAAAATGTAGTAACTCTAAAAATGGCACAAAGTCTGGTAGGACTTCTAAATTTTGCCAGTATTGTAGTTCCAAGAGGTCGACTCAATCATCGGCAGTTATTAATATTTCTAAATTCTCTCCCATACAAAACATCAAGAGCTTACACTATACCAGAAAAGGTGATAGTCGAACTGCATTGGTGGCTTCAAAATTGTCATTTCCCAACACTTCTGCATTATCCACCCCCGGTCAACTTCCTTACGACCAATGCGTCAGATCTGGCTTGGGGGGCACAATTGAACGAAATAGCAATGGTGGGAACTTGGTCCGAAGCCGAACAAACTATGCACTGCAACCAGAAGGAAATGTTAGCTATACTACACGCCCTTCAGAGTCAAGCTCACTTAATAAGCCGCAGCTCGATTTTAATACAGTGCGACAACAAGACTGCTGTAGCCCACTTGCGGAAGGAAGGAGGCACGAAATCGCTACCCCTAATGAAATTGACACATCAGATTTTGGACCTACTAGACGAACATCAAATACATCTCAATATACACTATCTCCCAGGCATTTACAACAACCACGCCGATCATCTTTCACGTTTACGTATACTTCCAGAATGGCACCTCCTGCCAGACTGTGTGGAGACAGTGTTTATGAAAGGGGAACTCCGACGATCGATCTGTTTGCCTCTACAACAGCGCATGTAGTATACAACTATGTCTCGCGAGATCTGAAAGACCAGCAAGCCTTATTTCACGACGCATTCAGTGTCCCATGGAACTACTCGCTGGCATGGGTGTTTCCGCCACCATTTCTGGTTCCCAAAGTGCTGAGTCACCTAAACCAGTCGACTGTTTCTATTAGTAGTGCCACGTTGGGAAAAGGTGTTTTGGCGCGCGGATCTCAAATCCCGAGCGTTAACGGCCCCGTATGTTTTGAAAAACTTACAGAGACATCTGATAGATACGTCGACGAGAGTACCACCTCCACAAGTCTAGAAAATTATCCTCGAGGTATGGAAATGTGGGGGTGGTCTAAAGAATTAGTAAGATGGAATCCTGAACAGCTGTCATTGCTGAAAAGCTCTTGGCGTAAGTCTACATTAAGCACTTATGAGGTGGCATGGAAACGCTGGATTACTTGGGCAAATACTAAAAATATCGATATAGAAAACCCCACAGGATCCCAACTGGCCCAATTTTTGTCAGACCTATATTTAATTCATAAATTATCTTATAACACGATACTTTTACATAAATCGGTTGTTTCAACACTGTGTAATGCCGAAACATCAAGTCTCTTGAGTTCACACGTTCTCGTAAAACACATTTTAAAATCAATTGCTTTAAAAAATCCAAAAAATTCAAGTCTTCAAATCTGGAATGTTAGTGAACTAATTTCATATATTACTAATTATACTATTGATATAAATAATACGTTTCAAACTTCGCGACATACCGCAATTTTATTATTACTCTGTTCAGGAAGACGCATACACGATCTAACTTTACTTAGATCTGATCCACGGCATTGTGTGAAATCTGAGGACAGCATAGTATTTTGGCCTCAATTTGGGTCAAAAACAGATTCTAGTAATTACAGACAGTCTGGTTGGAGACTCCTTCATAACCCTAATAATCGTCATTTAGATCCCATACACTGGATAAACAGAACCATTTTATTGCTTAATGAAAGACGTCGTGCTACAAAATGTTTTAATTTGTTTAAAACAGTTAGGGGTGCAGCAAAACCCGCCTCGCGGATGTTAATAGCAGGATGGGTAAAAACTTTATTCAAAGAAGCTGGCATTACAGCGGCTCCAGGCAGTGTGAGATCTGCAGTTGCTAGTAAGAGCTGGATTGAAAATTGTTCACTAGATGAAATCCTAGCCCGAGGGAATTGGAAATCTGCTAATACATTCAAAAAATTTTATAAGCGGGAAGTAATACAATGTGATAAATCAGACAATCTTACACAATTGTTTACCCCACAAAATTGATTAATGTAAAATAACGACATTCATAGTTTACTCAATAGTATTATAATACTTATTAATTTCTATGAAACCATAGATACTTTATTAATTTCTTTATGCAAGATTCAATTTAATTTATACAGGCGATGACCAGATCTGATTAAAAGTTTCCAGTGAAAATTTGATTTTCTAATAAAAATATTTTATACTTACTGTCACTTAATTAGCGTTTCTAATGAATTAAAATTGCGCTTAGCATTTTTAGGAAAACCAAGTGAAACGCAAACGCCACCAGGCGATAACAAACAGATCTCAATTAAAATTTTCCAGTGACGGTCAATTATTTTAATAGCAGCGTATATACCAAGTAGAGAACTTTCATGTAACTTCGCTAATTTATAGAGTTTTCTTTGCAGAATTCTGGACTGTGGTCTTGAAGAAAAGGAGACAACGACACATTCGATAGAAATGTCGAAAAGCACGTCGTCTATTAGCAGTAGGGTATTCAGACATCCTACTGCTAACAGACTGCTCGAAAGCTTCGAAGAGGTGATTATTATAATTTGTATTGAGTGATAACAATATTGATATTATATCATTGATTTGACCCACTATTATGATGGTGGCAAAGTAAATTACAATATTTTCCTATAAAGTCCTATTAATAAGATTTGATAGTTTACATTATTAAATAAAATTGAAAGACATGTAACAATGAAATCTTCGAACACTATTCCTAAACAAAAATTAAACGCAGAAAGTAAAAATGGCACTTATTATACTGTTTGTCCAATAGTAAAAAATACCTTTCTTAATTCAATTTTAACTCTCATTTGCAGACTAAAGTGCGCCAGTCTATGGAATCCAAGAAGGATACGACCTCTAGCACGAAGGACACCGAAGTCTCAACGAACAAGAGTGTACCCACCGTTCCCTCACCAACTGCCGCTGGTAAGTTATAACAAAATAATGAAAAATGACCCCACTACTTTTTCCCTGCCTTCTCTTGAGACTTGCCTTCTCGCTCGCGCTATTTAACTGTTGCGATCGCACATACGTATGTACAGTCGCGAACGGAGATATTTCTCGGTTCTTTGAACTGTTCGGTGGTTTAAACGCCGCATCATTATGCCGATTCGTTAACCGTGTCGCGATGAACTGTCTGTCGAGTTATGTATCGAATCATGTGGTATTTTGAGGATTATTATTGACGAATTCATTAACACTTTGATATCAAGTGGATACTCTAACTAAATATTTAACACTTATTGGGTAAATATAATCAGAACATTTGCATTTGCATTGATAACTGAATTTAGTGTTTGACGAAAGTAGAAGACGAATAAGTTTCAGAAGAAAGTCTTTTTTATTCCTCCTTTCTTATATTTTTTCAGTTCGTTTTATCCTTAGATATAGGTTTCAAGTCACCAAGCTATGAGTTCAGCGATGTGTGAGATAGCACCACTAACATCTGCTGTAGTATAAATTAGCCGGCTAATGATAGGGACTACGACCTAATCGAAAATCGACAGAAAATAAAATTATTCTTGGGTTTATTTTAATACCAGGTACTCCAGGCGGTCGTAGGCTCTCATCCTTTAGAAACCTTCAAACGCACGTGCGAAGCTTTCTTTATCCTCATTATTTAATGAAAAAGAAAAAAAATTAAGACTAAGAAAATTTTTTCTGATGGAATTTCTCAATTTCAGGACGGACGTTGACAGCGATGCTGGAGGAGATGAAGAGGCCGTCCGCTTTGGCGCGCACAGCGAACGAAACGGCGGATCGAGCGGCGGACCGAACGTCGGATCGATCGCCGAGCGCGAGATTCGAGAAGACGCCCACCGAGAGGCACGGAGAGGCGAGCGCGATAGCCAAGTCGTCGGCGACCGTCGAGAAGCCCGCCGCGGAGAGGTCCGAGAGGAGCGACAAGAGCGAGGAGAGGGAGAGAGCAGGGGAGAAAGAGAGAGTAGGAGAGAGAGAGCGAGTGGCGGAGAGACCGGCCGGCTTCGCAGCGGAGAAGGCGAACGCCAGCACGCTGGAGAGGCGACTCCACTCTGCCGCGAAGGAGAGCGAAGCGGACGCCGATGTGTTGATCGCGCAACTCAACAGCAGGGTGAGTGCAGTTTAGTGTGAAATTTCTCTGCAGAGAAATTTCACACTAAACTGAGATTGTTAAAAGGAACCTTTGAAACCTTGGCTACAACGGAACATGCATGAACATTTTAATTGTTTTTTATTATATTTTTTTAAAAATAACTTACTTTGGAAGAATAAGATTGAAGACTAATTAAAATTATTTTCACTGTCTCGGTTTAAACATTTTCACAGTACACAGATTCATTAAGGTCAGACAATTTAATAGAAATTTATCACAATGAAGTTAGGGAAAGTTTGTGAAAGTTAGTGCGTGTACTAAAAAATCCATGATCCAACTACAGAATATCTTCACATCTTTACCATTCGAGACAAGGGTTCTGCTAGTACATGTACATCTTTAGCGGAAAACAACGCTGACACAATGTTATTCCGCAGATAACGAACTTGGAGAAGTTGTTGGAGGTGCAAAACGCCAAGTTCAACGCGGCCATCGAGGAGTTGGCAACTAAACTGTCGATCGAAACGGAGAAGAGGCAAGCTTTGCAGGCCGAAGTGGAAAAGCTGGCGCAGTGCGTCACTCAGGTCTAGCCGCTATTGTTTTATGGTCAGTACCCCGACTGTAATGTACATTAATTCGGATTATGCGAAATCCTTATAGTGATTTGGGCGTTGAATCTTCTGTTTGTCCGTAAGGAGAGGTGATCACAGTCTAGTGGTCTAACTACGCTACGTAATTAATTTGTATTGCCTATTTTCTAGCTCATCAAAATATCATCAGTTAATGACGTTCGATTTCCAATTTTATTAGTTCTATTCGCTATTTTATTATATTTGTAAAGCCTTTTTTTCGATGCTTTTATCCTCTAACAGATTGACATGTTTGAAATTGATAATTTTTATTAGGTGTAAGGTGTTGTTATTTAGTAGCAGGGTCGTTACTCACTATTCCGAGTACTTAATTGCAAATTTGTAGACTTATATGACATTTAAAAAATATTTTCACAGATTAATAATAGCACAAGGTAAAATTAAATGAATTAATTTCCATAATCATAGTTTAAATGTAATCTATAATATCACTATTACATGTTATTTAAACTGCAGTTCCAATTTGTTACTTTAATTTGTAAGCGAATAACGTACACATATGTAATTTGAGGGAATTTTAATAACATTTAGTATTATGTATTTACTTATGTAATGTTAAAAAACAGATGCTTTCATATTTATTATTTAAAAAATCGTCGAATATCTTAACATATACAAGACGCTGCCTGACCTTTATTATAGTGATTAATTGTAACTTGTATATAAATCTCGATGTGTTTTTACGATTACAAAATTTGTGCCATTTTCGTTTGCAATAACTGCTGCGTAAATTGTGAAAAAGTCTGTTCTATTTGTGTATATAAAAAGGGGTATTATACAGTTTATGAGAGGTCATTCCTATTTGTGATTAACACATTCCATATATAAACATTGTCGCTCGTACTATATACGTTTAATCCATCGTTTGACATTGGTCATAGAGATATTTTTAGCCAAAGTTTTATTATTCAACGAGATATGGATACGCGAAAATACGTCAAGAGCCATATTTTACCCGTAGTTGATATATTTTTTATATGTACAGAGATCGATTATAATTTTACGCTGTAACAAAAATGTACCTTTCTATGAACATATCTTAAATATTTTAACGTGTCACTAATTTACCTTACTAACCGTTTTCTTTTATTTACTCGATGTATAACAATTCCACCTGTTTAATGTAAGTATTAATAAATATAGCGTGTATTTGTGAAGGCTTACTGTGAGGTTGTGTTCCACCATCCGATATTTAACTTGTTTTATAACTTTTACTAGATGAAATTTATGAGGTGTTCGAGACAAGACCAAGGTCGAATATTCGTCATACGAATTACAGTTACAATATAATAATGTTTAATCAAAAATGACAACTTTGAATAAGTGAACGAACGAAGATTTGATGCATTTTTGTATCTACATTGTAGGTCTCTACTCAACACACGATCGTATATACGTGTAGGGTCAGATTAAATTGGTGGTGTCGAAATGTTAGTGTCATTAGGGAGCATAGTTTTTAGAGTATATTGTGATAGACTTTAACTAAAGTTACGTACACGCTAATGTTACTAAATCGTTATAAAATGGCTTTAATCGTGCACAAATACGTTGGCACAGTTAGTTGAAGTGTGACAGCCTTAGATATGTGATGATGAAAACGTTGCTGCTATCCTGTTAAACATAAGTAGGTGTATAGAGAATAGAAGAAGCAAACTCTTTTAAATAGGATTCACAAACAAAAACAGTTTTGTCTTGTACCTAATATTGTATTCTTGTTTGTTTCCTAAAGAAACACCCGTGCTCGGTCTCTTTCCCTCTGCGAAAATAAGAAATTTGTATCCCTGATGTATCCCATATGTTTATTATATATTGAAGGTATATTTTTATTAAACAGTATACCTCTGAACGACATTATGTAAAGCATGTAAACTGCAAGAAACATTATATCAATTATGTAAAGTTGTTTCTGTCCACATTAATTATAGCGTCACTATTGTGCGTAATTGGTGACAAGTACAAATGTGTTATGATCAATCGACTTTAAGTTATAAAATCTTTTTATTGTTTTTACCCGTTCAAGTATTGTACCAACAATGTATCATTACGATAAATAAATGTATGTTCTTTTTAAAGATAAGGTTCCGATTATTTTAGAATTAAATTGTCAAATTGAATTATTGACATACAATTAAGAAAACGGATTTCTATATACACGGTGGCTTTTCTAAAGGTGCCCAAATTCACAAGGAATTCAGACTCTGTAGTATAATCGTTTATTGATATAAAAACAAACTTTTTTTTTGTTATTCCATTCCCCTAAAAAACAGAACTTGTTGACAATGCGGTAGTCATTCATAAAAGCGTCGTATACTTTTGAAACTAACTTGTGTGCGTGTTAGTTATGATTGAGCGCGCGTGAAATAAATGAGTTGCCCATAAATCACGCACTTTTTGAGATAAGTTCAAATGAATGTATTTAATTAATTACGAGTGATTTTAAATATTTATAATTTTTATATAACACTGGCTGAACCGGCAATTGTTGTTTTGCCATATAAATTATTTGTAGGGTAGAAAAAAATGTTTGGGGTGGACCACCCTTAACATTTAGGGGGATGAAAAATAGATGTTGTGCTATTCTCCAAAATCGGTCGAGCCGTTTCGGAGGAGTTCAATTACAAACACCTTGACACGAGAATTTTATATATTAGATTTATGTCTAGAATTTAATAAAAAAATGGATACACTTAAAAAAGCCTCCTCGTATAATGTAATCAAATTTTAGTGTTTTGTTGCTGTCTCACGCGGTTCTTTGTTTTCTTTTATAGTGCGCTCGTATTGTGTGAAATAGAAGATTCAATTATATCAACAGGCACACCCCATTCCAAATTATTCAAGAATTGTTTCTTAAATTAAACAATTTCTTGTTCGATCCAGCTTCATTGAATCTTAGAGCGTGGAAAGGTTTAATCTTGTAAAATCAGACCATTAGAAGTTGTTACGCAGGGCTCATTTGTACCTGAGATATTAACTGTTACTGTCAAAGTTTAATTTGCGTGTTTTTGAATGTATAGGTTGTTAAATGAAATATTGATAAGTTATGGCTTACATTGAAAGGCTGGCAGGACGTGCGATTAAAAATGAAATTATCAAAAGTAATTAGGTAGTAATTTATTGTGTCAACTGTGCCGGTTGAAATAAAATGAATACAAATTGGCGAAACAAGTTTATAACTTTGTTATACATTCAAACTGTTTAGTAGGTAATTTCTGACAATAACCTTTGTTAGAGGAAACTGACACGTCGGCCGGTTGAATACAAATTGACATATAGCATGAGGCAATACGTGCGATTGTGAAGCCAATAGATGCATTTATAATAAGCCGCGATGTAAATAGATATAAATAATTGTGTAGTTAATTAAATTGTACATAAAACATGGCTTGGTGGAAAGTACACGTCGAGTAGGAATACGTGGTTTATTTGATAAACCTGAATTATTATTTGTACTGTATAAATTTTTGATGTATTTTTTTTAGTACTTACTAATTTTTATTTACGCTGTTCTCCATGCATTCCTGAGGTCTAAACGGTTCAATATATTCATCTTATGAATAATAAAATAAATTTATGTAATCTAGCCTTTCATTTATCCAAGAAATAACCTCTTACATTACTCGTAGTTCCTAAGTACAACCAGTTTCGCAGTGCTTATGTATTCATAAGTCGCCTTTGCCTTTAACAATTATAATGATTTGTGTTGTAGAAGCTAAGACATGCGGGAATTACTTAAGTAATTAACCTTCGATGTCTACTAAGTCATTTTTATTTTCGGAACAGGGACTTCCCTGCTTCAATTATCGCTTCTGTTGCAAAAGACCTAAGAAACGCTTGTGTGTAGGAGAGTTTAAAGGAATAACGTGCCTCGACCGATAGCGAGGATGTATTCAGTATTGTATTACCATGACACGGATTTAACAACAATTCACAAATTTTGCCATGCATTTTTTTCCATGAAATACATGGTAAAAGTTGCAGATGCGTATGCCACCTTTTAATAAAATGGGCCCCTGCTTCCTCGCAGACGAAACGCAGAAGTATAACATTTCCACTGCACGCCGGTCTTCTGTGAGGTCATGGTACTTACCCGGACGGACCTTCCCAGTTGTGCAACAACGAAGACTGATGCGTGGCCCTGCCACAGTTATTACTAATTATCACAGAATGTGGTATTTACAGACAGTCAGATTATAATCATATGTACTGCTCAATTTACAACAAAACAAACTACGGATCTGAGTTTTTCATTGTTGAACGTGTAATCATATCGTTATAGTCAATGATATTATATACAAAGACAATGTAAAAAATATTAAAAATCATCGGTTATCATCATTATTTACATCGACGTTATCACTAACATGTGCACGTATTTAAATCTGAGCATTTGAAGTCGACGTGTTCAGTGTAAACAAGTCTTATTTCCATTGATTTGCTAAATTATATTGATTGATAACCTATGAACGTAAAGCACTTCGTTATGCGACGTCGAACAATGTACATCTTGACTAAAAACAATGAACAGAAACATTAAAATACATTGTTAGCACTAATTGACCATTTAAACTTTTAATCATAAGACAAACTGACATTATTTTTCTGAATGTTGGTTTTCGAGAACACCAAATATCCATCTACAGGTAATCTTATATTTTTTGTGATATGTCAGTCTGCAATCGGGTTGGCGGTTCATTTTATCTTAGGTGATTTATTGCCGCCAACACCTGACGGGTGGAAGATGCATTGCCAACATTGCAAAAGTGGGCCCTCACTAGACAAATCGCCAAAGAATAATACTGGAAGTATTTCATTTCACGCCGCCGATAAAAGAAGTATTATTCTTTTGTCAACAAAATATTATTTCCGCCAGTAGTGAGAATCGAACCCACGCTCTCAGTCGTAACAGACATGGACGTTTACTATCAGTTAGATACATG